ACGGTTGTTATTGTCTCCTCGTCGCCTATTCATTAACTGTTATGTGTTCAGAAGAAACATATTTTGTCACTTCAGTTGTTTGGCGCTAATCCTCGTGAAAGTGTCAGGAATGCTTCTCCTCGCTGATGTTTTCTTTATGTTTTAGTCATTTCTTCACCTTCACCCTGTTGTTTTTGACAATTAAGTTCTGCTTGTTTTTTTCCCCGCACGTATAGCGTGAGGTTCTCGATCTACATGTATTCTTTTCCTGTAGCCCTAAGTTGCTGTATTTTGACATTTTCCACTATTCCCTGTATTTACCCATGATGAGATATTATTATTATTATTATGTGCTTCTTCGCGTAGACATCAGCATGGCCTGCAGCTGCATTAATGGGCATGCAAATCATGCAAACCAGCCAAAAATGTTCGCATAAGCCACTTCGAATAGATACAAAAGACCACAACAGTTTCAGAAAAAGAAGAAATATGCGAAAAGAAGACAAAAACTAGGGTGCCGACACCACTCGGGCACAGATACCAACCCAACCGCTTCGGTCAGCAGAAGGGCACGGAACGCCTCCAGATCGACTTTGCTTGACAAGGAAAGTCCAATCCGCTTGGCATCATCTTGTAGTAGCGTTGGTAGTGTGTGTCTTGGTCGTCCCCTCCAGCCCGCTGGACGAGGCTCTGCGAAGTACGCTCCCATGGCCAGTGATGGTGGGGAGTCAGCCGGGAGCCGGAGGACGTACCCAAAGAGCCTCCACCTAGCTCTCAAGATGATAATGCCGAGAGGAACCGCGCTGGCACGCTCATAGAGCCTCTCGTTCCTAATCCGATTCGGGAACACAATGCCGATTAGCGCCCGCAGCTGTTTTCGGTGGAAGGCCTCAATACGGCTCAGCTGCTGTTTCGTTGGTGCCCATGTTGGACAATTGTAGCAGAGTACAGGGAGTACAAAGGCATTATATAGCCGGATGCGGAGATCCTCCGAAACTAGCGACCTACGGACCCACAGCGTCCAGAGTTTTTCCTAAGGCAACATTTGCCAGTTGCTGTCGCCGTAGCATATCCTCGGCATCACCTAATAGGGGCCCGAGTTTCTTGGTGGTTCGCCACTCCTCCTCGATGCGATCAGTGTGCCGTTCGATGTGCGTGTGCTCTGTTTTGGTCTCATTCACTTTCAAATCCCATTTGAGGAGCTTGTTGGATATGGTTGGAAGGAGGGTCCTCAGCCTCTCACCATCAGTAGTCACGAAATCCACATCGTCGGCGTAGGCAGTTTCAGTTGGTAACCCCAGGGAGATATCGGCAGGGGGACGTGGTAGAAGAAGAGGCCGAACATCACGCAGCGCACCCTCAAGGTACACAATGAAAAGAACAGGAGACAACGAGTCACCTTGGGGTGTGCCGCGGAGAGTGGGGAATGACGGGCCCTTAGCGGATGGGAGTACAACCCGCAGTATGGTGTCCTGGAGGAGGTAACTGATCATTCGGATTTCATCCGGCTGCAAGAACGATCCCAGCACCGAGATGAGCCGTGGCCTGCTTATACAGTCAAACACTTTTGACATATCAATGCCTAGGATATCCAGCGCACAGCGATAGCATTGGCATCGAGCCGCCAACAATCGGTATGACCACACAACATCTGTGGTGCTTCTGCTGGGGCGGAAACCACTCTGTGTGTGTGCAACGAAGTTGTTGACGTCCTTGTTGATCCTCCGCAGCACAATCAATGATAGAATCTTCCTGAGCGCTGTGAGTAAAACCACGGGCCGTAGGTGAGCGACTGGTCCCCTTGATTTGCCAGGCTTTTGTAACAGAATAAGCGACCCACTACCGATGCTGTTCAGGGGCAGGCCTGTCTCGACGGCAGAGTTGAGGACCTGGGCGATATTGGAGTAGACGAGGGCAGGTGAGTTCTTTAGCAGCTCCCCTGACATGTTATCTGGGCCACTTGACCTGCCATTGTTCAACTTTCCAGCTGCCTGTGTCACCTCTGCCTCAGAAATGGGCCGCTCAAGCCGGCGGTACTGAATAGCGCAATCCTGGTCGGCAAGGCCCGGTCGCCGCAGCAACAGTGCACCAGGCTCCGGCGTGTACAGCTTGGAAAAGTGGTCGGTGATTTGGATGGCTACTGAGACTGGCTGTATTACCTGTCTACCCGTTTCATCATGCACAGTGATAGGCTGTTGTTTTTGTCGCTGGAGTAGATGGACTGCATGAAACATCTGTGCTGTATCCTTCTTTGCTTCTACTTCCCTCGCCCGAGCGTCCAGCTCATTCGATGCTAGTTCCTTTGCTCGCAGCCGGATTCGGTGTGAGAGGGTGTTCCGCCGATGCTTCAGATCAGCCACTTGTTGTGGATCCCTACTTGTAGTTATCAGCAGTCGCAACCGTTTTTCTCTTCCGACCAGGAATGTAGCTGATCATCCATGAAACGCTGTTGCTTCTTTGGGGGCTGTGCCAGTCCAATGGTATTCTTTGCCGTTTGCTGGATGAAAGACGAGATTGATGTCCAGTGTGTTTCCGGTGTGGATGTGTCTACTGCGCCGTTGGCGATCCGATGGGTGAGTTGGGACTGGAAGTTTTGCCGGCAGGTGTGCTCGCTCAATCTATGAACCTGAAACTTATGAGCTTTTGCGATTCTTTTTTTGTTGTTGTTATGTGCCCACAGACCATAGATCCTGCTCAGACGGGCGCGTGCGACAACGAGCCGATGGTCTGATTTCACCAGTGTCCCAGCATAGGATCGGGCATCTGTGAAAATCTGCTTCTGGTTGCTGCTACACAAGATGAAATCTATTTGATTGTATATAGGGATAGAGCAACCGCCGTTTGGGTTGTGCCTCCAACCTGGCCAGGTTGTCAGATGCCTAGCTGGATGTTGAAAGGCAGTGTTACATGCAAAGAGACCAAACGACTCGCAGAAATGCGCTAGCATAGCTCCGCTGTAGTTACGACGTCCACGACCATATCGTCCGGTGCACGAGCCGCCTGAGTCATCTCATCTGGCCGAGTTTGGCATTGAAGTCGCCAGCGACGAGAACGAGCGAACTGGACCTTACTGAACCCAGGCAATCTCCGAGCGCTGAGTAGAACTCGTCGAGATGGACATCATCTGCCGCTACGCGGGTTGCCGTTGGCGCATACACATTGACGAGAGATAAAGTACTTCTCTTGGACAAATTGATTTGTATCGCAGCTACTCGGTCTGATACTGACCATATCCGATGAATACGTTCAAACAGGCTGTTGTGAATAGCGAACCCAAGCCCATAATGCCTGTTCGCCGTTGGCAAGCAGAATATCCTGTAGTCACCAGCTAGTTCGTCGCAGCCGTCCTTTATTTTAGTCTCTTGCAAACTGCAAATTTTAATTTTGTATTTCCGAAGGTCATCAGCAAGCTGCTGTTTCTTTAGGCTTCACGCCACCCATGATGAGAAGGGAACGAAAACGTTCGGTTACAAAATTGGCTTACTTGACTGTGTGGATTGCGTCGGTGCTGACAACTTTTCTTTCGAAATAATCATAATACCTGTAGAATGAGGAAGCGTGCACATGCTTGCACAAATGTTGGTTTTGCGCAGCAAAGCTGCGCAAAGCCTAGTTAGCCCATGTACACGCATGCTGGTGGTGGAGTGCTGCGACTCCCCCCCCCCCCCCCTCGCAGCCTGCGAGTGTGTGTCACGTGACCACCTCATGACTAAGCCGCGTGCGCAGCGTGTGGCCTGGCAAAATTTTATGGACAATTGTGGATGCGGCGTTTAATTATTTGGAGACGTGTTCTGCTGAGCTGTCTTTGTGCGAAGGAGCATTTTTTGCAGTTGCAGTTTCTGTGTCAAGTCAAAGTTTTTTCCCTCTCTCCCACCCCTTTTGAAGTGGCATTTTGTTTCTCCAGTTGGGGGGGGGGGGGCAAACGGGCCTCCTATTATGTGTGTATGTGGTGACGCCTGATGCCAGGCAGTCGTGTGAGCCCTCGGTGGGCGATTGGCTGGCCTTGGTGGCTGTTTGTGTGCCCTCGGCGGGCAAGATGATATCGGCCCACGGTGGGCAGTTTGCTGGCCTCGGTGGCAATTTGCGCACCCTCCGTGGGCAGTATGCTAGTTTAGCCCTCGGCGGGCGGTTTGCTGGCCTTGGCGGCCATTTGCGCGCCCTCGGTGGGCAGGCTAGTTTAGCCATTCGGGCGCCCTGGTGGGCAGTATGCTAGTTTAGCCCCCGGCGGGCAGCTGCGGGCCGCGGTGGCCATTTGTGCGCCCTTGGCGGGTGGATGCTAGTTTCAGGCATGCATCTTTACTCAATCAATTATTATCAAAGAGCATATTGGACTCAGATGGAGAGCTAAGGTTTAATTTATACAAAGAGAAAGACAAAGGAACTACAAGTTGTAGAACGTCAGTACCGTCGGTCAGTGTCGTGCAATGTTATCGCATGAGCTGATTGTTTAGTAACTGGTGGTGTTAGTGGACAGTATAGCGTAACTTGTAGTTCCTTGATCTTTCTCTTTGTATAAAGAGCATATTCTTGAATATTTGAATTGTCCAAATGAAATCATGGCAACTCCCAACCCACTGTGTCTATTGTATGTTTGTGCACGCCATAGTGAGCGGTACGTTGTGCGGGTGCCTGCGTGTCAGAGCATGGGTACACCAGTGGCGTGCGCGTGCACGTGTGCGCTTGCGTCTGTCTGCGTGGGTGCACGAGTGCCCAAGGTGGGCGTGCACTTGGAGGTGCTTGCATGTTGACGGGTGCAGGGGCTAACTTCATTTATTTTTTACATGAAGGAAACAAGTGAGGTGTGGGGGGGGGGGGGAGGACTGCCACCACCTCCTCTTCCCTGCACCTCTTTTCCTAGAACCTTAGATGCATCATCCCAGAAGATTTTTTCTATTTTTTTTATTTTTTTATTTTTACAACTGCCAGGGAATTGTCCCGGGCGACAAGGGTGCCTGGATCGAATCCTGCCCGAGAATGCCTGGATCGAATCCTGCCCGGGAATCTTTCTTTGAAACACTTACACATGCATGAGTTTAGAATTGTTGCGCAACAAGCCGGCAGGTAGTGATCCGATGCGGTTATCGTTCAACCACCTGTATTAGAGGAAATAAAACCAGACGGGTACCCCACGCATCCATGCACACACATACACAGCACGCAACGGGGAACACAGAGGAGGATTGGAAAACTCCCATATAAATGAAAACAATTTGTTTTACATACCGGGTAAATATTCACAAAAATAGTTTTAAAATATTCCCTGCTATGACTCAAGTATGAGTAGATGCATGTGCTCAAAGTACGACCAATTTTACAGTATGTGTTTGCCGAGCTGAAACTCACACTATAAATGATCACTTGCCAGAATCCTGCTCGTGGATGGAAGGTATCTGTGATGTTGCAGGCCTCCTGGTTAATACTATATTATAGTATTGTACTATTATAGTATCTTGTACGATATAGATATGTGTATCTGTTTTGTTCCCTTTCTCTGTGCTTTATGTTCCTGGTTCTTGGTCTTTAGTTTTGTCTTTGTTAGTGCTTTGGTTTGACCAGTACTGTAATAATAATAATGTCCCAGAACATTACAGTATCTTGTCCAAGTTTGTTCTGAGGCCAGGCTCGATTGAAGCAGGCCATCTTTCGATCCGATCTGTTTCTCTGGAGTTCGCTGATTTTTCATATCAAATGTTGGTGTCGCAGAGGGTGCTCTAAGTCCGTACTGCTCAGAGGCGACTCAAAATACACACATATTTCTGCTAATTGCTAACTTGCTATCTCTCGGTTACGACGAAAGTACCGAAGCGATATGTTTGGAATGTGCCTCCACCAGTATTCCTTGCAAAAGCATAGTTCGTTGCTGAAAGGCAAGCTGTTTTTAGTTGGCTCAGAGAAGAAGCAGCTGCGCTGTGAAAACCGCAGGAAAACAGTGGTAGAGATGCTAGGAGTGTCAACCGTTCTGCAAGAATTGGTGAGTCTCTGTAAATTATTCTCCTGTGGCCATTCTCAGCTCTAAGCTGTCTCTTGATGATTGAGTGAAGGTCTGTTTGACGCTGTGTCTGCTCGTAATCGGTCGTGATTTAACCCAATGTGTATCATGTATGGACAATCGAAACCCCACTCGCGTGGTATGGGAGTTCTGCTTATCATAGACCTCTGAAAATTGGTATGCCAGGACAACATACCACAGTGTCCCCTCGAAAAAATATTTTAGTCAAATACAAAGACAGAGACGATGAATAGAACACCAGAACATGAAACTATGGGTGTACGGACTTAGGATGCCTGTCCGGACTTTGAGCACCTGGGTCTATTGGGCTAGGAAAAGCTGTTGCCTATTAAGCTGGTTGGAGCCACGGACTGTATGCATGGGCAGGGCCGCCGGAACTGGTCCGGCTGCACTGGCGATGGCCGGACCAGTTTTCCAGCTGGATGGTCCAAATGATTCGTGCAAAACCGGTGAAAAGTTTTCTCAGAGGTACATAACTGTACAGTGGACATGTCCTGTGCTTCCAAGTACAGTGCTGGCAACTGAAATCTCACCCCCTGAGCGGTGGGTTCACATTCTAGCGGTCTCTGTTTCGTAGTTTTACCATCCCGTGTTGGGTCTTTGCGATGTGAACACACCGCTCAGGGGGTCGGATTTCAGTTGCCAGCACGGTAGCTCAGGACTCCATGACTCCATGACGGGGATTGTTCTGCAGAGCTGAGCTCACCATCTACCTAAGTAGGCAAAGTGACTCCTATCGAAAATGCATGCACTTGTCCACATTGGAAACGAGCGAAAATATTGCACAAGACAGAAGAGACTCGATCGAAAGAGTCAAGATCGAGAAAGCCGGAAAAAATCGTTCGCTCGATAAGCCGGGTGAGCCCACACAGAGTATGCGCACACTCTGCGTGGGCCTACCCAGCTTATCAAACGAACAGGTGTCTGGGTTACAGTCTACAGCTTCGCGTGCTTTGGGTCCAAATTTCTACGCATAGGTGAGGTTCTCTACGCTGTGGCACACGCAAAGAAAATGCGTACGGATCTGCTCGGTATCAGTCAAATGCAGGCAGAAAACTGCCAAATATGGAAGGGGAATTCCCAGTACACATTCCACGTGATTCTCTACGTGAACGTAGAGCAGAACAGGTTTTCTTGAGGTTAGGGGAACGCGAAGAGAGTTCTCAAGGTTCTTCACGCCGCGCTCCCGTAACGTAGAGCAAATCGTCACCATTACCCCAAAACATACTAGTACCGTAAAGTACCGTTGATCCACCTCCTCTCTAATTCCCGCCCCCTGTGAATTTTCTACCTGTGAAGTGACTTCAGCGTATACAACGAGAATACAATGTTGAACCGACGCATGCACTGCTGTACACAATATTTGCCAATCCAGGACGAAAATATGCACAATCCAGCACATCGAGTCTGAAATTCTACGTTGTTGTACATCGTACTGAACTTGACAGCCTTTCCGCCCCCTGCCGAAAACCCAGCTGGGAAGTGACATGGCGTGGGGGGCGGATCAACGGTACTTTGCGGTACTGTGCTACTTAGTGAAACGAGTTCTCAAATTGCAGAGCGAATGGGAAAGGCTGGGTCTGCTCTAGGCTAGTACAGTAAAACCTGACCTGTGACTAACGACCAGCCCTTGGGGCCAGAGAAAGCGGTCTTTAGTGGCAGGTGGTCCTTAGTTAGAGGTTTGCACTGCACAACCACATAAAGAATGTGAGACCGTCCGTGCCTGGCGAAGTGGTCTGTAGTACCAGGCTGGTCGCTAGTCACGGTGGTCTGTAGTACCAGGCTGGTCGCTAGTCACGGTGGTCTGTAGTACTAGGCTAGTCGCTAGTCATGGTGGTCTTTAGTTACAGGTTTTACTGTAAATCCTATGTTACTCAACTGCAGGAGGTCTTACCACTGCTACTTCAAGGCCGTCACAGCTGAAAAAGTGGGGCGGCTGAGGCCGCCCCACTTTTTCAGCTGTTTTTTTTTTTTTGGAGCACACTCCATGATCGCAGCCAGGGAATAGTACAATACTCCCTAATCGCAGCTCAGCCCAAACGTGGCAAATAATTGTCCCCGATCGTGGTTTATTGCAAATCAAAAAGTCTTTCATCGCACTGATAATACCCATTTCTCACCCCTCCCCTTCATAAAATTAATAACTACTGTTTTCTTTCCTTTCATTTCATCTTCTTTCCCGTTCCTTTCTCCTCATTCATATTTTAAACATTTTCATAATATTGTGAGAGCCGTGGGCCAATAGCCCCGGTGAGAAGGCAGTCTTGCCTGTTCATATGGTGAAGTAAAATAAAGAAACAACCCCAACAACAACAACAACAACAACAACAACAACAACAACAACAACAACAACAACAACAACAACAACAACACTCACAACACACTGAAATGGCACCGAATGCCTGGAAATGCTTGCAAATTGGCTTCAATTTTTGAATTTTTTTCCCGTGGGAAGATAATGAAGAACCCAGGTCCCTTATCGTAGCGTCTTCTTGGTTTGTTTCAGGATCAAAAAGTCTTTCATTGTAGTTACACTGAAATGGCACCAAATGCCCGGAAATGCTTGGAATTGGCTTTGATTTTTGAAAATTTTCCCGGGGGAGCACCCGGCCCCTTTCCACGGCCACCCCACCTCCAAAGTCGGTGCGACGGACCTGTTAACTTACAAATGTGTAAGTTGATGATTATTGCTTAGCAAGCCAGCAGGTAGCGATATCAGGAGATTGACACTCAAATCCCTGTGCAAGAGGAAGCAAGCAAGGGCATTCAAAATTTCGATGAGAGTTGAAAGTGTGACGAGTCTAAAGTGTGCATGTGTGGCCGCAGTACATTGGCCATATCCTAAACTGGCTGGCTGTGAGAGATGGCAAAATAAGTTAGTGACGAGAATATTGGGCGTTGGTGTACAGTGTGTTAAATGTCCTAACAGATCCATGCTGTGCTGTATAGAAGTGATGTTCCAGCTTATTACTCACAGCGTTGTCAATCCAATCTGGCTATCAAAGAGCCCAGCCGGGATGGCGGTAAGCTGTGCATGTTTCATAGTTCTGTATTCACAACAAGCACATGAAAACACAGAAAAACACATGAAAACACAGGGAAACACAGGAAACACAGGAAAACACAGAAAAACACATGAAAACACAGGAAAACACATGAAAACACAGGAAAACACATGAAAACACATGAAAACCCAGGAAAACACATGAAAACACATGAAAACACAGGGAAACACAGGAAAACACATGAAAACACATGAAAACACAGGAAAACACATGAAAACACATGAAAACACAGGAAAACACATGAAAACACATGAAAACACAGGAAAACACATGAAAACACAGGAAAACACATGAAAACACAGGGAAACACTGGGAAACACAGGAAAACACATGAATACACAGGGAAACACAGGAAAACACAAACTACTGCCACGCTACATGCACAGACTGTCCACGACCTGAACAAAGGTTCAGTTGTGGACATTGAAATGCATTCAGCCTCAGATCGAAGACTATCTATCACCGCAACAAAGTGCATTTGAAGGGCTCCAATTCAAAACGCGATAGAACTTACTTCCTCCGCGTCATCGAAATTGTCGCAGTTTGACTAGTGACTTGTCACTTGTTACTGACAACTCCATAAGCTAAGCCATTCAAAACTTATTACACAGTATGATAGTCTGAAGACTAGAGTAACGTTCCATGTCGGTTGGACTGAGAGGTTTCATACAGAGATGAAGTCCTCGTCGTCGCTGATGTCAATGGACGCAAAAATATCGTTCTGAAATATTTCAAGGAAGGTTGAAAGTTGGTTGCGCCTCATCTCAAACGCTTTGACTTTCTCCACAGGACAAGAGCTGCTATGCTTGTCGTCTGCTAGCTCTGGATGATTTCTACTTCACCACCAACGAAGCCTAGTAAGAATACACGATCGTTGCGAGGTCGGTTGATTACCGTCGGCGGAATCACCTCGATCTTGAAATGAGCTTTTTTTAGCCGTGGCATGCCCATTTATTTTAGCTGTGTGGTCACAGCTCATGAAGGTAAGTGTACTATCACGTCCAGATCGCCCTCTTTTTCAGCATCACTGGTATACCATGACCCGGTACGGCACCTGCGCGTGCATCACTAGCACTACGTGTAGAGTCTACACGGCTCTTGCAGGTACAATCATGTACTGAGTGTCTCAGCCAGAGCGACAAATTTTATCGCTGTTGCAAGCATTTAGTTTGCTGACCCCTGGATGTTTCTCCAAGCGCTGCCACTTGTTCCACGAAGTCATTTTCACCCCAGCTAAGGTAAAACAGTGATGAGGCTCGAGTGAATGGTCATCAGCACGAGAAATGTGCAGGCTGCAACGCCTGACTGATCTCAGCGAGTCGAAATTGCCATCGCAGTGACATCAGCGAAGAAATTGCGTCTAGTTCAAAAATTCCAGCTTCCAATAACAGAAAATAGACCTTTACCGTCACCCTATACTGATGACTATCGCCTATGTCGAATTCCTTGCCTCTGGTACGAGTGCTGGAGAGTTAATACCCCGTTTTATATCAAAAGTCAAACAGGGACAATTTCGATGACGCGGAGGAAGTAAAAGTCATTGATGCTGCAGTGCAGACCGAAAAAGAACAAATGAAAAATGCACTTCCTGAAATTTCCACAAAGTGGATTTATCTCGTTTTGAATTGGAGCCCTTCATTTAGAAAGCAGCGAAGAATAAGGAAGGGGACGCAACTGTTGGTCTGGTAATCACACTCCTAAAACCACTGCCACCTAGCCGCTTATTTACATAATATTTAAAAAAATTCCGGTTGTCAGAACAAACAAAGCAGGCTCAAACACTACCTTAATCCAGCATTCGTTGCATTGCCGATTTCGAAGATCAGATATGGCATGCCGGATTGCGCATCCTACATTGGCACTTTTGTGTGCAGCAGTGCATGTGGCAGATCAACACCGTATTTTATCGTATGCGTAGAAATTTGACAGGACACAACGGTACTTCACGGTAACTATAATAGAGACACGAGTCTATGACCAAGGGTATGCAACTGCTCTATATCCTTGCTGATGATCAAAGGTGCAGCTAGCTGCCTTCACTACATCATGCTGCCATGTCTTCACACTGCGGGGTGCTTTCCGTCTGATTCATGCGGAACTAAAGTCCGTGCACTTGAAAAGTAGAGCTCCCTTGTGTTCACGGACAAGTTATTATAAAGCCCTGTATGCAGGTCCGAGAGATCGCGAGAGATCATGAGAGATTGCGACTTTTCGTGCACGAATGCAGAGCGCGGTGCAGACAAGTTACGAAATACAGGCAGCACATTCTTGGTTATGGAGCTCTGGGTAACAGCACAGAGCAGATATGCCCTTCCAGCGTTCTTTTTTTTCTTCTCCAAAATGCCCGCTGGCTGGCTGTAGGTAGCAATGGCCCACACTTTCTACTGTTTAATGGAAACGCTTCATTTCACGTAGAGTAGCGATGTCATAGAGCACTGTGTTAAATTAGTACCACCCCGCATCATTCTATCTTTTATTTTTATTTTTATCCTCAGCTTCTTCTTCATAAGCTGTTAACGGAGACTCCCTCGATTTAGGCTAAGGCCTGTGGAGAATCCATAAATACAAATACAAGCAGAGTAGTAGAGCCCCATGATTTGGTTATGGCTCGATGCAAGCATACCTGCTGCTTGCCTTTGATAGAGAATAGACTTACATTTTGGTGATTAACGTGTAGTTTCGAAACGTGTCCTTGTGCAAAGAACTGCTGAGGTTGTAGCCATTGTTAGTTATGCGTCTGCACACATGCGAACACGAAAATTGCAGGGAGGGGGATAATTATGGTCATTTGAATCAAAGAGAAGGTTAGCTGTGTACGTGTGTATGTTTGCGCATGTGTGTGTGTGTGTGTGTGTGTTTTCTGAGGAACTAGCCAGTCGTTTCGGTATGCTGTTGTAGCGACCTGACTCACTGAGTATTACGTCACTATCACATAAGCATGCGCAAGAAAAGAAAACATTCTCTTTGGCGTCCACTTCTTTGTTGTCCGGTTGGCCAAAGTAGCCGTCGTCTAGGGCCCGACGTAAAATCCTATATTGGTGACCCCCGACGCTGTGCTCTTCGGAGTTTTTCATCATGGCATCTCTGAGCTCTGGCCGCAGTTTGCAGTTTCCTGCTCGCCCCACTCTCGGAATCCCGTGAATCGCCGGCTGTTGACGTAAAACTTGAGCCTCACCACCACTGGATCCGCCTCGCGCTCGGAGCTGCTGTGGCCCCTGCCACCCTCCCGCCTGGATACCCAACTATCCTGCAACGGCACATCGTCCAGTTGTCTTCGTCCTGGCCTCAAGCTGGAAATTGGCCACCTCCACCATCCGTACCACCTCAACTGTGCACGCACGCAGGCACACGCCCGGCACAGGACCTCCATCCGTCCTTCCCTCACTCGGCACGTCTCGCCCCAGTGCAGCGCTCCTGCTGGTACCCCGAAAGCCTGCAACATGCAGCCGCCTCTGACATTATAACACTCCTCTGTCACGCGTACGTTCCTCTTTCCTCTATTTCCGCCTCTGACACGATAATACTCCTCTGTCACGCGTACATTTCGTCTTTTCTTTCTTTCTGCCTCTGACATGCTCTCCACCTCTGTCAAGTTAACACACCTCTGACACGTTAACCCGCCTCTGTCATGCATCTCCCTCTTTTCCGCTTTCTGCATTTTGACTTTTATTTCGGCATTTGTTGCCACGTCACAAACAAATTTCATACACGCAGCGCTCTCACTTGTACATATTGTATCATATGTTTTCTCTTTCCGCCTTGTACATGCCGCGCTTCCTTTCTCTTTCTCTCTCCTTTTCTTCTTTATCGCGCTTTGCTCCTCCCGACCTGACCACTGGCGGGGGAGTACTGTAGCGACCTGACCACTGGCGGGGGAGTACTGTAGCGACCTGACCACTGGCGGGGGAGTACTGTAGCGACCTGACCACTGGCGGGGGAGTAGTGTAGCGACCTGACCACTGGCGGGAGAGTACTGTAGCGACTTGACCACTGGCGGGGGAGTACTGTAGCGACCTCACCACTGGCGGGGGAGTACTGTAGCGACCTCACCACTGGCGGGGGAGTACTGTAGCGACCTGACCACTGGCGGGGGAGTACTGTAGCGACCTGACCACTGGCGGGGGAGTACTGTAGCGACCTGACTCACTGAGTAGTATTGCGTCACAATCACATAAGCATGCGCAAGAAAAGAAAACATTCTCTTTGGCCTCAACTTCTTTGTTGTTCGATTGGCCAAAGTAGCCGTTGTTTAGGGCCCGACATAAAACCCTGAGCCGTCATCAATGGCGGAGGTCGTACTCTGTCACCGTTTACCCTGGCTTGGCCACCTTGGGCGAATGGAGGATTCCCGTCTCCCCAAGCGCATTCTGTTTGCTGAGAGACTCAACACAAGACCCAGACATGGTTCTAAGAAACGTTGGAGGGACATCGCCGCTGCTGATCTGAGTGCTCGGTGCGTGACAGGTGGCTGGTGCGACTTGGCGCAGGACAGACGAGACTGGCGCCTCATGTGCAATCGTCCCCGGCTGGCTGTTCCACCGCCTAGAGTGTTCATTTGCGGCTGTGGCAGGGACTTCCATCGGCCCAACGATCTAACTCGCCACAGGAAATATTGCAACTCCTGATGCTATCATTGCACGGAGCAATGGGTGTCCAAAGGTCCAAAGGTGTGTGTGTGTGTGCGTGCGCGCGTGCGTGTACAGTCATCTTTGCTAATAACGTCTGCGGAAATTACGACAATTCGCGAATACCGACAGAATTTCCATGCCCAGAGCAAAGTCCCATCTAACTGTAATACCGTATTTCCTTGAACACCCGCCGCCCCTTGATTATCAGCCACCCTTGAATGAACGCCGCCAGTTTCTTTGGACTGAGGGTTATTTGTACACAAGTGCAGAGCAGTTCACAATTTATGCGCAATTTCACAGCTACGAGATGACCTTCATCTACGACATCATGTTCCTTCACATGCAGCTAGTGCTGCTCTCGTTTCGGACAAAGGAGATCTAAAGAAGGGAACACACCGAACACGCCATGATGATGATGACCTCTCACAACATAACGAAGAGCAAGAGGAGTTATTTTATCCACCACCAGAAAAGACAATAGTAGGCAAACAAAGCAAGCGGGTGAAACGTAAAACGCACTATTCTAATTATAGGATTTTCAAATCCACAAAACCAAGAACTTAGATCGGAGAACTGGTCTAGGAGAAAGTGGACACGGACGCTGTGAAAGGAACGAACGCAGAAAGAGAAATCAAACGGCAGAGAACAAAACTTGCGGCATCCTTTTATAATATTTGTATCCAAAAAAATCAGCGTCGACGTCTTCTTGAAGCTCCTCCACTTCATCCCCGTCGCCATGACGGACTGCTGCTGTTGAACATGCAAAATAACCTGCTAGTCGACCCTCAAGCTCCTTCGCCATGATATCCTTTCCAGTGCAAAAGGAGAAGAAATGAAGATGCACTAGCCTACAGTGTACTTGGAGAACAAAGGTTCAACAGTGCGCATCGTATGTGAACTCTACGCATACATTGCGACGTACAACTTTTTTTCAAGGCCTCACCCGCTTTGCTAGTTTTGAATACAGGCCGCGGCCGGCGGCTGTTCAAGTAGGTTGTACGTATAAGGACACTTCGCGAATAAGGACACTTTTCTGATGCCCCGCCGAGTGTGGTTATACGCAAAGTTGACTGTATACCATATGTCAGCGCCATGACTTTATATTCAAAACACCACTGCTTTCCTAGCTATTTTCGATGCAAAATAACTCACCCACTACGCCATGCCATAAAGTCAAAGTCCACACAGAAATTTCTAATCTACCTGTTCACTCTTCCTGCTGGGCTGTAAGTGTGTTAGCATTGTACTTGTTCCTTCATTCTTACACAACATACTTCAAATGTCATCTCAGTTATGAAGCCTACGGCTTTATAACTGAGGCTGGTTTCGTAATCGAATAATACCGACATTACTTTAAAGGTGCGGACATACATATGGTGCCTCCTTTGGCTGGTAGCTCGGCTTGCTTTTAAAAAGCTCGTAGCTGTACTGATGAGGCATTTATGGTCAAAACAGCTTGCTGTCTACAGCATTGGAGTATTTTACTACTCGACATTCGTCATGTTGAGCACTCTCGATAGGCTGCTCTAGTGCTGCTGCATTATGCATTGCCCGCTACTGAAGTAGCGTATCTTGCATAGCTACGGGAAAAAATGTTCACTAGAACTCATGTTATGATTACGAAAATATGAGAGTCCTTTCTTGTAGGCAGTATATTCTTTTACACGGCCACACTATAAGCGATGCGCACTGTATTTTGATCTTCAAATTTCTTTTACCTTCATACATTTTGCCCAAACCTATTGCATTTTATCAAAAACATTTTTAAATGGACTATGCAGTCAACTTTGCTAGTAACGACTGCGGATAAAAAGGAGGGTGCAGCTCAGACCCCGGTGAGGCTAACCTCCCGGAAAATATAGCACTTACATTTGTACATAACAGATTCAGCGGAAAACGTTCAGGTTGAGTGTTCATGCCGCTAGGCAATCATCAGACAACTGATACTACTGTCGTGGACATGGAATTCCGGTCGCACGTCTAGCCGCCCCAGGGCGCTGGCCATGCAGCCGTGGATAAACGGTACACACATGCATTTATGCGCTGCAGCGCTCTGGCTCTGGTCGCATCGGATCAACAACCATTATGTACACTGCACGCAACGTTCTGTACGTTCTGTCTGCGCTGAGGGCGCCGTCCCCGGTCAGTCGACTGGATTTCTTTTGGAGTGCGCATCCAAGATGTGCTAGAGCTGTAAGCCAGTTAGTTGTAGAATGTCAGTACCGTCGGTCAGTGTCGTGCAATGTTATCGCATTAGCTGATTGTTTAGTAGCTGGTGGTGTTAGTGGACAGTATAGTGTAACTTGTAGTTCCTTGGTCCATTTTACTATTTATAGATATTGGGATGCTTGGGCAAAGTGCAGGATAGTGTAGCGGGCGGCAGTCTCTCTCGGAGGCAAATGCACACGGGTCTCAGTGAACACACTGTAACTGGAAATTGAAATGTAACTATAACTGACAATTAAATTAACTGGCTACTTAATTAACCGACTGGCAACTAAATTAACTGACTGCCAACTAAATTAACTGGCTGGCAATAAAAGAATCGTGACCAGCAGCTTTAATGCACAGGTAAACTCCGTACACTAATGTACAGGGATACGCTAACGTATGGGGATACAGTACGGGATATGCTAACGTACAGGAATACGCTACCGTACGGGGCTATGGTAACGTACGGAATATGCTATACGCTACAATAGTACTTGGTCAGTTCATTTGATAGGTGTGAAATTTGCGAGGCGGAACTTGTTCTCATGCCTGCATTTCAAGATCATCTCAGACCGCTTGTTGAGCAGGAGCTTCTTCGGTCTAGTCAGGCTGTGGAATTTTTCTATAAAACATAGGTTACATTTCTTTGATTCCCATCGATGCACAGTGCTGTTTTAATGAGTTGTTTGGTTTTGCATGATTCTTGTCCGCATAGCTTTCCCTTTTCTTGATCTTTGCATCTTTTGAGCCACGCTCGTCATGTGGAATGATGCTTTGCGTCCTTGAATCATGGTTTGACCGTATTGGCCAATGGTCTTGCCAGTATCATTATCGACATGCATGAACATCCGCCAACGTCCTTCACAGCTGAGACTTTCAGCTCGTGCTTATCTTGGTTGCGCTCACCTTCCCCTCATTATGTTATTCCTAAAACTTATAACCTTCCAAGTTGGAAGGCTGTTGGAGTGCGCATCCAAGATGTGCTAGAGCTGTTAGCCAGTTAGTTGTAGAGCGTCAGTACCGTCGGTCAGTGTCGTGCAATGTTATCGCATGAGCTGATTGTTTAGTAACTGGTGGTGTTAGTGGACAGTATAGCGTAACTTATAGTGCCTTGGTCTTACTCTTTACTTTACATAAATAATCCTTTGCTCTCCATCCGAGTTCATCCCAATATCCATTGACTATACCACTCTGCTCACCCCTCCCATCACCCCAAGACCCCCTAGTGATCACACCCGCCTGTTGCACGCCATCCTCCTCGCACCGCCGCCCATCTGCTGTACACTGCCTCCCCGACTCCTCTGTCCGTGCCTTTTTTTTACTCACACCTGCCTGTTGCTCGCCACCCTCCTTGCACTTCCACTCACCTGTTGCCTCTCCTAGCGCCTTGGCCCACCCTAGCTTTCTCCCAACACCTTACGCCACCAGACTTAGTGCTAAATTTGTTTATGCCTGTGGCTCTATGTGTTCATAAGCATACTGCGGGCTGGATCCTACAGTGCTGGCAACTGAAATCCGACGCCTTGAGCGGTGCGTTCACTTTCTAGCGGCCTCAGTTTGGTAGTTTTACCATCCTGTGTTGGGTCTTTGCGATGTGAGCGCACCGCTCAGGGGGTCGGATTTCAGTTGCCAGCACTGTAGTATCAGTTGTCTGATGATTGCCTAGCGGCACGAACACTCAGGGTCCCAACCGACCTGAACGTCCTCCGCTGAGTCTGCTATGTACTAAGCTCTGTCTCTGACATTGAGCACTCTCTGTAGCTCGGGGATCAACGGATTTGCACTTACATTTCTCGTATATCGATGTTGAGCATTCCATTATTGAAGTATAGCGGTAGACCGTGTTGGGTGTGTCGAGTTGAGCCAGTAGCTGTGGGACAAGCATTAGATGGACATTCCTCTGTATAGGCTGTTGAAGAAACAACATCACAAGACCATTAAGATCAGGAACACACCCGAGAGCGATCATTCACATTCCGTGCACACTCCAAGTGAATGGTAGGAAACTGATTGCATACTTCACAGGGGCGTGGGAAGATATTTGAGTGTACGGTACGGTCAGCTATCTGAAGTACAAGCCACTCGTAGCGGAGAGGTGAGCTGAGCCGAATATTTTGGAAAAGTAGAGCCCAGATCAGTGTATTTTATTGATTCAAGGGGTACCTGGGGCAAAAGGTTGTTTGTTTGTTGTTTGTTAGTATTCTTTATTTAGAGTGGGAAGTCCAAAACAGGCCCTAGCCTAATAACAATGGTCTCACTAGTGAGGGAATGCTGTATATCTGTGCATAAGGATCAAGCAAGTCTGATGAAGTGTTTTGACACGAAACTCGGAGTAACAGCGGAATGAGACTTGTTTGATTCATTGCTGTGTAATATCTGTGAAATATCTGTGTAGCATCTGTGTAATATCTGTGTAATATCTGTGTGCTACCTGTGTGATATCTGTGTGATATCTGTGTAATATCTGTGTAACATCTGTGTGATATCTGTGTAATATCTGTGTGATATCTGTGTGATATCTGTGTGTAATATCTGTGTAACATCTGTGTGTAATATCTGTGTGATATCTGTGTGATATCTGTGTGTAATATCTGTGTAATATCTGTGTGATATCTGTGCATAAGGATCAGTGAGTGTAGTGCGGTCAGGACCATAGTGACTGTACCGTGTCCAAAACCCCTGCTGCACATCACCTACTACTTTTGCACTGCTATACACGACAAAGGTGTACAACCAAATATGTATGTACATGCGCACACACACACACAAACACACACAGACACACAGACACACAGACACACACTTTTGACTATTGACGCCCATTGCTGGAGGTGGTGATAGCGATGCTTCAGCAAAAGCCATAGCAACTTGTGCTGGCATTGCACCATTCAACAGCTTGCAAGGCTGAAGAATTGACTGCCACTATGCAGCCTGGTCTACACCACACAGCTATTTGAAGTGACTTTTTCTGACCAGTGAATCCCTAATTTTTGGTCTGTTTTCCTTTTGCTGACACACATCACACCACATCCTCCTGCATGCACTTCTTCTTGGTAAAGAGGAGAATGAAAGAAACTTGAGGGATTTGAGAAAGAGAAGAAAGATGTGTTGGACCATAATCGTCGGGAATTGAACTTCAACCTCTCAACTGGAAATTGACTGCACATACTACTGCACCATATGGTGCGTGCATTCACACACACACGCACACACACACACACACACACACACACACACACACACACACACACACACACACACACACACACACACACACACACACACACACCTTTGACCTTGACCTTTGACGCCCATCGCCGGAGGCAATGATAGCAATGCTACGGCAGAAGCCATAGCAACTTGTGCTGGGATTGCACCATTCAACAGCTTGCAAGGCTGAAGAATTGACCGTCACTATTCAGCCTGGTCTACACCATACAGCTATTTTGAAGTGACTTTCTCTGGCCAGTGAATCCCTATATTTGGTCTTTTCAATTTTTTTCCCGCACACACACATCACACCACATACTCCGGCATGCACTGGCTGTTGGTAACCACCCAGGAGAATGAAAGGAAAGTCAGGAAGAGTCACACACACACACACACACACACACACACACACACACACACACACACACACACACACACACACACACACACACACACACTATACTCACGAGTACAAGTGCCGTTTCCCTCGATGAACGGCCATAAGCATTGGCATGTGCCAAGCGTTGAGTTGCCACACACATAGTTGGCTGAACATGAGCATCCCACTGTGCAAGAAAAGACAGTGAGAGTTAGGGTGCGTCCTTTTATTCTTCTGTCTCTCGTAAAAAAAATCTGCAGATCCAACGGATCTGAGATCTGGATCTGGACCCGGATCCGACCAAACCATCATAGCCTTAGTATTTACTCCAATTCACTTTTGCTATACATTTAAAGCAGTCAAATATTCCTGCATATTTTACTGCTTGGGGCTACATTAGGGACGTTTAGCAACGCAAAAGTTCAAACCTTTGTGGGCATGATATTTCGCGAAACTTTATTTCGAAAAAGGAAACCTTGTGAGGTCTAGCAACGCGAGAAGACTTTTCCTGGTGTTATTTAAATTCTATAGTACCGTACTGTGTATGCAGGTCTGTCTCAAGCAGGTGGCTGTAAATTTACTACTCCAAGCCGTCTAGTGCGTACCGAGGAAAGAGAAAATAACTTTCGCAGCCCACTGCAACTTCGCGTCCAAGTTTTGGCAGCTTCGATCCTTGTTTCTGTACTCATTCCCAGACTCGAGTTTTCTTTCGAACTTTCGTATTGCTAAATGTCCCTATTGGCTGCATGCAATTGACTCCTTTTTAGGAATTGAGCAAATGCTTTGGTTTTGTTGAGATAAATCCAATATTGACGTTGTACAAGGTCAATATGAGAAGAAAAAACCTCATAAAAGACCCTGGCTTCGCCTCGGTCTTTTACTGAGCTTTGATTTCCTATAGTGACCTCGTGCTCGGTCAATATTGGATGCTTAATGTCCTATGCAACATTAAATTCCCTCACCTGCGCATCCAGGATGGATGTATTTTCCGGAAGAGCAAGTCGCTCGGTCACTTGCTGACTGCAGCCTGTATCCTGCATCGCAGTAGTATGTGATGTTGGTTGCGCTGTGGACTGTGATACCACCATTGGGGGTATAGACTGCATCGCCAACAGAACATGCCGGGCATTCGCCTGCAGCTAGATGACAAAAACAAGAAACACAAAACAACGATCATTATAATAGGCGATTCACACGACAGGCAAATCCACGTGCACCGGAACGTTGCCATGGTATTTTACCTGTGAACGAGAAAAGTGGCTGAAAGTGACTGAAAAGTGCAAGCGAGCTGGGGTCCCACTTTCACGATAATCGTGGCTTGCACGAGTACAGTTACACCAAAAAGCGCGAAACAAGACTTGATTTTTACGCGGCTCTTTTCAACATGATAAATATTGCATTGGTGTTTTGAAAATTTGAAATCCCATGGTTTCTGGTGGGTGAAGCATTCAAAAATGCAAACGTGCCTGTCATGGAGTGCAACCGTGTGAATCCACACAGTCACTTTTCTCGTACTTCACTCTCTGTAAAACGTGCAAGTGCCTGTCGTGTGAATCGCCTATAAAGCAAAGAGTGAAATACTGACAAGGACATGCACTGGCAGCACAAGTGTGCTATCAACCTGAACAACACTTGTACCTGTACTTGCTCACTGCCAAACCTGGCCAAGCGGGCCTCCCCGGGACAGCCGGGGAGAGAGACTCAAAAGGGTTCTTGGAAAGACGACTCAATTGGCTACTTGCAGACTTACCACAGCTCAGCAAGTCGAGAAGCACAAGGCCATACCTGCCAGCCTTTGCAAACCTGAGATCGGGACAACGTCGTACAAAGGTATGTCATTGTCTCTATTGCCTCTCTACTGTACTTAATTCACTATCCTTGTTCCTTTGCCTTTGCCTGCATTTAACCTGAAAAGAAAGCTTGAAAGTATACTCGTGAAAACTCTCAAGGTGCTGGCAAAGAGCCTGAAGTGTGTGTTCTCCTTCGTATTAAAGGTACTTCAAAATGTGTATCAATGTAGCCAGTAAAAACGGTCGAGACGATGTGCAATAAAACGAAAGTATGAAGAAATGGTGTACAAATTTTCTTACAACACTCATCAGGAATCGTCGTTGTACCAAAGGACACTGAAACAAAATTGAACTATTATAGAAAATGTAAGTTAGAGAAATAACACTAGGCACAACAGCAGTGAAATTTACAAGTGTGAATTTTAGCAATCAAAGCAAGAGCAATAACGAATGTGTGTGCTAACAATAAACTTGCAAATGCAAAAATGAACACAAATTTCGGTTCAGCTCATTTTATTGATTGCGGTTATCAAAATAATTATTGTCTCCTCGCCGTTTGGTTAAATGTAGCCAGTATTAAAGGTATTATTGTTATTGTTATCATTATGAAATGACCCAAAGGGCCTATCGAGGGGCTCATTTGATTGAAAGAACATTACTACTACTACTAGTATGTACAAAGACAAGTAGGGCTTGATGTAGAGAGAAACGGGGAAAATCAACTGCAAGGTGGCAGAGTTCCGTTGATTGCATAAGCATGGTTAGCATGAAAATGTGTACCAATGTATCCAGTACTGAAGGTATGAAAATGTGTATCCAGTACTGAAAGTATGAAAATGTGTGTCCAGTACTAAAGGTATGAAAATGTCATCCATTGTGGCCGTGAGTCATGCCATTAATGGACTTTGGGTGCATATTGCCACCCTTGACATCGGGATGGCCGCGGCCAAATCGGTGTGGGTGGCAGGTGTGCAAGGTGCAGAAAAAGGATTGACGGCAACAGGATACCTGTCCCGGGATCCAAATGCAGTTACCCCTGCCCCCCCCCCCCCCCCCCCAGTCAAGGTAATGCTTGCTACTAGTGTGGGTGGCTAAATCAGAGTGGATCTAATACAAGCTCACTGACCATTGATTTTATTACACAAGAGTTAATCTAGCCAGAAGCAGTCCATGGTTAACAGGTATGTATACTTCAAACAGAAAGTATATGAACCCTGAAACCAACAAAGGTGGTAGGTATAACAATACACCTTCAAGCGTGTTGGCAACGGTGATGCTATTTTTTACGGTACTCAGACAGACAGACAGACAGACAGACAGCCAGGCAGAGAAAGAGAGAGAGAGAGAGAGAGAGAGAGAGAGTATCCCGGAATTGCCGCCATCTTTTCTCCCATCATTTTCTATGCGCTGTGCTGGCGAGTCCACAACGGACCAACAGCTTGACTGCAGATGGAGTATTTCGCTGCTGCTCTTGTAGTAGTCGAGTCCTCTCTTGTGCTGTTAGATTTAATTTTTTTTCACCGTCCAATGGCAGGAGCCAATGCAAAGAAGGGGTGTTAGCCAGCCATGGCAAGAGGAGGAAAAAGAAAGAAAAAAAGAAGGAAAGAACGTAAAAGTAGGAAGAAAAGAACGCATTAGCGGGGTGGAATTCATCACTATGCTGTAGTGTTGAAATGAGCTCACCGGGTACTCGTTAGCTCGCTCGCCAGAAACTCGGCTCATTAGCGCGGTTAGCTCGTTTGCGCTAACGAATACCGTACTCCGTACACATTCCAATACATGTCGACCGGGGAGTCGTAGAATATTTTACGACTCCCTGGTCGAACGAGAGTCCAGAAAACCACTCGGCGTTACAGTGACTGTATACCTGCAAGACAATCTTTGAAAAAAGGTCTATTCTTTCAAAGGCTGCTCAACAACGGCGCTAAAAAGACATCTCGACACCAAACAGCAGTACGAAGTGAAGCAGCAGCAACCCCAAATGCCGGTGGTGATAATTTGAACCAGCTGAAAAATATCGAACTTAGAAAACAATTATTTAAAAATCATACTTGCCACATCAATGAAACTCGTTAGTTCGCTCGATAGCTTGCTCGTTGGTGGAACTGATCGCTCGTTTGTTATAGATACGCTCGTTTTAACACTATGTTGACCATGGTGAATAATGTTTGCGTTATGCATAGCTCACTGACTGCATTTCCTTCGTGACTCACCACAACCAGAAGCATGGTTACACACGGTTACAACAGCCAGTGGCAAAGTTACCAACACCAGGCGTGTGTAACAAGGCTACCACGACCAGGGGTATATTTACCACGACCAGGGGTATATTTACCATGACCAGGGGTATATTTACCATGACCAGGGGTATATTTACCATGACCAGGGGTATATTTACCACGACCAGGGGTATATTTACCATGACCAGGGGTATATTTACCATGACCAGGGGTATATTTACCATGACCAGGGGTATATTTACCATGACCAGGGGTATATTTACCATGACCAGAGGTATATTTACCATGACCAGGGGTATATTTACCATGACCAGGGGTATATTTACCATGACCAGGAGTATATTTACCATGACCAGGGGTATATTTACCACGACCAGGGGTATATTTACCACGACCAGGGGTATATTTACCATGACCAGGGGTATATTTACCATGACCAGAGGTATATTTACCATGACCAGGGGTATATTTACCATGACCAGGGGTATATTTACCATGACCAGGGGTATATTTACCATGACCAGGGGTATATTTACCATGACCAGGGGTATATTTACCATGACCAGGGGTATATTTACCATGACCAGGGGTATATTTACCATGACCAGGGGTATATTTACCATGACCAGAGGTATATTTACCATGACCAGGGGTATATTTACCATGACCAGGGGTATATTTACCATGACCAGGGGTATATTTACCATGACCAGGGGTATATTTACCATGACCAGAGGTATATTTACCATGACCAGGGGTATATTTACCATGACCAGAGGTATATTTACCGCAAGAGAAAAATAAATACAGGCACGTGGATCAGATAAAGAGAGCTCAAAGTTTCGGTGCTTGCTGAAATAGTAGCGATGGTAATAAGGAGTTTATCGCATAGGGTCGGCACAATGAGGCTATAGATGTACTGAGCAATGTGAGCAGGTACGTGTGGAAGTGACGACAAGAGGCAGGATGTTTGCTTTGAAATCTCGCCTGGGGTTGGTTTGCCGGAGGCATTAGGAGTATGTTTAGTATTGTTTACCACACCAGGGGTATATTTACCGCAACCAGTCCCCTCCAGTTACCTTGGTGACCGGCAATTCACGGTCAAAATCACTTCCTCCGTCTGCACAACCCGCCCTATAGCCGCTGGCATACCACAAGGATCCCATCTCGGTTCTATCCTGTTCCTTCTGTACATCAACTCTCTCCCGCAGACCATCCCAGATGAGGACCACTGTCAAGTTCTTCTCTTTGCCGATGACACGACCATTGGAACGGAAGTCGCTGCACCTACCACTCCTTCTTCCCAGCATCATAGTCACCCACTCCAAGTTGCCACGGATGCCGCCCTGAAATGGGCCGACTCGGCAGGTGAACGCGTTAACCCCACGAAGTCTTTCCAAATGACGTTCTCCCCTCGTACCAACAGACCGGACCCTCCAAATATCGGGCACCTGCGAATGAACCAGGAAGAAGTGCGCACGGTCAACACGCACCGCCATCTTGGCGTGCAAATTGATAGCCATCTCAACTTCCAGTGCCACATCGAAACAATCACCACTAAAATTCGCCAACGCGTGGTACTACTTGCCGACATGTCGAGCCGCCTAACGCCGGAATTTACAAACCGGCTTTATACTGGTTATGTCCGACCCACCATTGAATACGCCTCGCCACTGTGGCAGTTCCAACTGTCCGCATCCCAAGCGGCGGTCCTCGAGCGTCTGCAGGCCAGATTGGCATGAGTCCTCTTGAGACAGTACGGTGTGTTTCCCTCCCCTACTGAACCGAAGGCATATCTGTTCGCGCACCTCCAATGGCCCAGTCTGGCATGGCGGTGACACATCCAGTGCCTCCGGGAGCTCCATTACCTGGTCAACCACCAGACCACTGCCCTTATGGAGCTGGGCTATAGTCTCTCCACCAGCGTGCGGCGCCCTTTCCAACTTGTCCCGCCTGCCAGGGCAAACAACTACTCGCGTGCCACTTTCCTCTTTCTTACCGCTGCCACCTGGAATTCTCTCCCCACTGACATTAGAACCACCCAAAATAGTCATTGCTTTGTGTCGTGTCCTTACCATCTTTGCCAACACCCGCTTCGAACCCGCTGGTTTCATTCCTTCCAGAGTTTCTATAATAATTATAGTAACGAATGTTATGGCTGATTTCTACAGTACGCATTTGTTATAACCCTTCCTCTTCTCAATCTATATGAGCCCCAGCCAGCAGAAACCTGAACATGTGTAATTTTTTCAAAAATTATTTTTTCGCTCGAAATCGATTCTACACTATTAACCATTCAAGTTATCAAGTTTGGTGACAATCTGATAAGCGAAAGCATGGAAAATAGAGTTTGAAGTCACACAGGTCAAGATTCGGTACAGTTGGCGCAGCATCCATGCCCAGTGACTCCGTGCAAGTTGATGCTACAGTTTCTGATTGTGATGTGGAACAGGTACATGTTAGTAAATAGAATGCAAGTCAGGCTTGCCCTCTTGATGCTGCAGGCATGAGTAGTTCAGAAGTGTGACGATATTCCGTATACACCACTATCTTCTTTACAACACCAGAGTGCAAAACGATGATTGGTGGCTGGCCTTCCAAATTGTGTTCAGGGACCTCTGTGCTGGCAGTTTGAGCGTTGTCCCAAAGCTTGCCATACTGATAGATGTACTGACCAATACCACTGACATCCACTCCCTTGCACACTTTCACTCAGACCATGATTTCAGCATAATTGTATTTCAATGATATGAGCGAATACTCGCGTTTTGTAGCACGTGAAGATGTTGCCCCAAAGCGTTCAGCCAGTTTGACTTTTAGGAATCCCCTTTCTCAGCACAGGCAGCAGCCAGCTTGGCGTCGTCTGGCAAGGTAGAGTACTGATAATACTACGCTCTGTTTTGCGCCGTGAGAAGCCCTCCATGAGTGTCTGCAACATCATTGTTGTCGATGTAGAAATACGGATCGCTCAGCGGGTCGACATTCAGCTTCTCCTCGCAGTCGCTATTACTCCAGCACTGACTAGCGTCGCCACCAGTATCCAGTGTCGATTTTATGAGGGCTCTTCGTTGCTATGAATATGAGACTCACCACTGCTGGACAAACTCAGCGAGATCGCCACCAAAGAAATAATTCCGATCGCGAACTAACTTTCAGCGTCGTTTCGTACAGGGAGTCTCACGCTGACAACTCTTGACCTAAGTCCTTGTCGCGACACCTGTCGCCATCGCTGTGTCTAAACTCAACCTCCGTTTGACGAGCTCTCACCTAGGGCTAAAATCAATTGACCAGACTCATTTGAAGACATTTGAAACTCCTTTGACAACGAAGACACCCACTCGATCGAAAAGGAATCTTCAAAAGCCAGCTCACTGCGCGTCCCAAACTTTGACGTCACATTTTGATGATTGATATCAAGTACACAAGTGCTGGTTTTCGCTGGCCGGGGCTCATATGTTATAATTTTGCAGATATATTCCCAGTAAGCCATGAACGGAGACCACCTCGACATAGGCCTCGGCCTTTGGGGAATCCATAAATAGAAGATTTAAAAAAACCCAGGGGTATGTTTTAGCATAACCAGGGGTATATTTACCACAACCAGGGTTCTATTTACCACAACCAGGGGTAGGTTCACCACAACCAGGGGTATATTTGCCACAAACAGGGGTAGGTTTACTACAAACAGGGGTCGGTTTACCACAAACAGGGGTAGGTTTACCACAAACAGGGGTAGGTTTACCACAAACAGGGGTAGGTTTACCAAAAACAGGGTAGGTTTACAAACCAAAGCAAACAACTATCGACGGCTACCAAAACTAGGGTCGTCACAGAAGGCTGCCACAAATGAACACATTTTGTTGATATGTCTTCACTTACCACAACAACCATAGAAACAGCCCTCAGTCTTGTATGCTGAACAGTTGAATTTTCCCTCTGGAACACTGAGGAGAAAAGGAGAAACACACACATGCACACGCGCACACACACACACACACACACACACGCACACACACACACGCCTCAGACCTCAGACCTCCCCATCGCAGAAGCGATGATAGCGAACAGCTATGTTAGACATAGCAACTAATGCTGGGATTACACCATTCAACAGCTTGCAAGGCTGATGAATTGACCGCCACTAATTTTTAGCCTGGTACCCTCCGCACAGCTGATGAAGTGGCTTTTTCTGGCCATTGAATCCCTATTCTTCATTTTTTCATTCATTTTTCTTTTTTCGACACACACATCACATCACATACTCCGGCATACACTAGCTGTTGGTAACCACCCAGGAGAATGAAAGAATAGCTAGGAGAATGAGAAAGGGAAGAAAGACGTGTGCGACCATAATTGTCGCACACACACACACGCACACACGCACACACACACACACACACGCACACACACACACACATATGCACACACATGTGCACACATGCACAGCACACACATACACACACACAAACGCACACCCAGATAAAGCGTGATGCAGAACTGAGCATCGAAGGACAAAATGCGGATAAGCTTGAAATTGTTTTGAAATTTTTGTGCGTCAGCGTGCCTCAAAAGAGGACTTTTCCTGTGACTCATCGCCGCACGGCGCATGTGAAATAGAGACCAAATGAATTGCTTGAGGATCAAGAATCTGCAGGACTTTGAATCATCGTTCCACGTTGAGTAAAACTTGAGAAACAATGAAATTTGTGGAGGTGGGTACAGAATCTCGCTCAGGCACAACAGGGCAGCTCTCAACAGGCTTGAAAACAATTCTGTTGCTCCTGCTGGTGTCTAGTGGCGATATTCCAAGAGAGGAGATCTGTCGCGTTCCAATGAGACCAAGGTGAAAACACTACGAAACTGGTGAGTGAAATTAGAAATTTTTCAAACGCATACTGGGGCTATTGCGTCTGGCAGCACGACCGGCAGCAGGAATCTGTAGATTTTTGGCAAAGACGATTTTTCCAAAATTCAGCCACTTCAAATTTCACCACCAGTGCTGGGGTTGCTGCTGCTTTCGACTGGCTTCAATTCGGACGGGCGTTGGGTGTCGAGATGTCTTTCGAGTCGCCATTGTAAGAATAGGCCGTTTTGCCAAGCTTGCAAGTAGCCTCGTTCTCTGCTGCATTGGGGAAAAAACTTCCAAAAACGACTAAGCTTGACATTCACTGGAACAGAAAGTTTACAGGTTACACTGAGTGTACTGTTCTGTGATGTGTACACTGTCTCGTGTGTACACTAGCTCTTGCAGTGTGACTTGGCATTCGTGTGGTCTAACAGCAATTTTCATTTACACTTTTGTTATTAGTTTGCTTCACACCTTTTATCAGTCATTACGTATGATTTATAATGCAGTGGCAGTACCAGGCGTGGGCCATCCCCTGGATTATCAAACTGGGTGCTTTATCATTTTTCTGTTGTTTTTACACTTCTTCGTGCTTTGTAATAAAAGTCTCTATCTAATCGTGTGTACATGTACTGTGATGTGTACACTGTATCATGTGCACATGTACTGTGAAACATGTAATTTTAGGTGTACTAAAATTTCAGTGCCAGGGACCTGACGGGTTTCAGGTGTAAGGCCACACCAAGTTTTTTCATTGTTTCTCGTCACCGCGCGCGTACCTTTCTTGAGGATTGGACCAAAAAAAAATCTCGCGTCCCGGTAAACACGCATAAAAAGGCGTTGTAAAAGTACGCGCGGCGTCAAATCTGGAGTGCAGTGCTAGTGCACGAACCGAAGGACGACTTTTGCACCGTGTATGTACGCATACCGGTAGTTCAAGTACCACACCACCACACGACCTGGTCGTCTTCTTTGCTACACACAGTTCCGGTACAAGTCAAGACAGTGCATGACAGTGCACCGTTTTGGACTGACAGTGTTCCGGGCATCGGTAAACTTGCGGCATTGCGGAGGTTTCTGTTTTAAATTTTAGGCCACACCAAGTTATTTCATTGTTTCTCGTCACCTGAAAATCTCAAAAGGAACGCGGGCGGGCGGAAAAAAAACAAAATAGGGTTTGAAAAACAAAAACTGCTATTTACACTACAAAGGCCCAATTTATGACCTAAAATCAGACTATACACCACGCGTGACAGTCAATTGCAACATACAGCCAGAAAACCAGGCTCCTGCACCGGCCTCTGGTGAGGAAGTCCAGTGTTGCATGTTATTTAAATAGGAAAGAAAGCAAACCAAAGTTATTATACAAGGGGTACATAAAAGAACAGCCAAGTGCGCGCTTGTGCTAAAATTTAAAACAGAAACCTCCGCAATGCCGCAAGTTTACCGATGCCCGGAACACTGTCAGTCCAAAACGGTGCACTATCATGCACTGTCTTGACTTGTACCGGAACTGTGTGTAGCAAAGAAGACGACCAGGTCGTGTGGTGGTGTGGTACTTGAACTACCGGTATGCGTACATACACGGTGCAAAAGTCGTCCTTCGGTTCGTGCACTAGCACTGCACTCCAGATTTGACGCCGCGCGTACTTTTACAACGCCTTTTTATGCGTGTTTACCGGGACGCGAGATTTTTTTGGTCCAATCCTCAAGAAAGGTACGCGCGCGGTGACGAGAAACAATGAAAAAACTTGGTGTGGCCTTAGCACAAGCGCGCACTTGGCTGTTCTTTTATGTACCCCTTGTATAATAACTTTAGTTTGCTTTCTTTCCTATTTAAATAACATGCAACACTGGACTTCCTCACCAGAGGCCGGTGCAGGAGCCTGGTTTTCTGGCTGTATGTTGCAATTGACTGTCACGCGTGGTGTATAGTCTGATTTTAGGTCATAAATTGGGCCTTTGTAGTGTAAATAGCAGTTTTTGTTTTTCAAACCCTATTTTGTTTTTTTCCGCCCGCCCGCGTTCCTTTTGAGATTTTCAGGTGACGAGAAACAATGAAATAACTTGGTGTGGCCTAACTAAGAATTATTTTTTTATTTTTTATTTTTTACTATTGACACAGCCCTACTGGAAAACAGGTGGAGAACAAAAAGAAACGAGGAAAAGGACAAAACATAGGGGATGTAGGGACGACGTGCTGATGTGCTGGGAGCAACTCAACCGACCAGAGGTCTCGGCGTCAGCGTTGCAACTAGGCATCGAAAAATGCGTGTGTGTGTGTGGGGGGGGGGGGTTGTTGTTGTTGTTGTATACTTTATTTATAGTGGAAATCAAAACAGGCAAAATGTCTAATAACGTTGGACCCACTGTGAATAACATGTTAAAGGATATTTTGGAAAAGTAGATACAAGAGAAAAAGAGAAAGGAAAGAAAGAAAAAAACGGAAGGTTGGTTGCAACGAACAGATATCAATCCAGTAAGCATTGGAAAACCTATGTCGCTGATAATATATACTGCAAGGCTTGAGATTTGAAATCCAAATACCTATTTCAACATTTTGCTGCTGGTGGCAATCTATTCCACATAATGGCTCCAGCGTGCGTTAGGCGCTTAGCAGAACGAGCAGTGCTAGCAGGTGGGACCACAAGCAACTTGCTTTGGCCTCCCCGAGTGCGAGTTGAGGGCACGACAGCAAAAAAGGACTGAAATAGGGTGCTACATGCATCATGCAAACATCGCCAGATGAAACAAAACATATTCAAGTGCACAGAAACCTGTAGATCACATACATGCATTCGATTTAGCAGGGGAGCAGTACTGGTCCACGGTGGCGACTTGCAGACTGCCCGAGCGGCACGTTTGAACAGCCTATGTAGCCGTTGTTCCTGGGCAACTGTCAAATACGGGTAGTAACTAATAGAAGCATACAAACATTCTGGCAAAATGATAGATCTGAAGTAGGTAAGTCGGCATGGATATGGCAGCGAGAAAGCATGTCGCAGCAGGACAGCAATTTTGCCGGCAACACGACGAGCAACATGGTCCACCATTGTGGTCCAACTCATGTCCGAGTCAAAATGCAGGCCAAGGTATTTGGCAGATGTGACTCGTCAGGCGAAATAGCACGTCATAGTACATTTGAGATCAGCGGGAAGAAGATGACGACGTCCACTAATTTAGTATCTGTGCACACGAATCTGCTGTGTGTGTGTGACTCTGTGTGTCAGCTATGATATCATCTTCTATGGTTCCATGCCTAGCATGTACGTCTGAACCATCCTGCAAAGTTTGAATGACGTAGGTTGAGCGATCGCTCCGCGAAACATACTTTTGAAATTCTCTTCATAGTATATCTTCCACCATTGAAATTTCGAATTTCTTCAAAAAAAGTGCTGAGAGGAGTGGCTTGCAACCTCGATATGGCTTGTTCCAGGCATGCTTTGGAGCCATCTTCTGTTGAAGTAGTGGCGGGACCTGCCCTGCAACTGCTACAACAAAAAATGATTCGATCTGAGAAAGGGTGAGACCGCGAATCTCGGTTGAATATTGAGTATTTCAAGCCTTTTCACGACGAAGATGGAGTTCTTTTTGGAGATGGACGTCGCAAAGGACATGGTGTCCGACTTCTGGCGTCTGGTGAAGCCAGGGATCATTTGTCCAGTCAGGTCGGCAGCCTAACCGTCGGTAAGCTTGTGTTTGGATCCCGTTCTGCTCGATGTGGTAGATCACAAACAATTTGATATCGCACAAATTGATCTCAGCATCGTGCGTACGGTATTTTATATTCAGAAAATCCCTAAAGTGTCTCCGTGTGGCCGTCCTTTGCCACGAGAAACTCCAATCAGGCTCCTATGTCCTCTGCCTTCATGATTGAATGTCCACTTCGTTTGAACAACGAACACAACAATCGAGGACGGCTTTGCAATGAAAAATACAGCTATACTGGAGCTGAAAAAAAAGAAGAAAAAAACGTGCTCAGGATGAGACTCGAGTACATGCATACTCTCCCAGCAGGTGAAACGCAAATTTTTGTGAAAAATGCGTGTCGCCGACTGACCAGTAATTTCGCCTGACGTACTGGTAGGACTTGTGAATTGCATACAACATTGATGTCGAGGGCTGCAGCTCTATGGTGTGGTATGGTTGCACAAGAACAACTGCAAAAAAACAGAAGCTAGAGAATACCACAAAATAATAACTTGGTGCGAAATAATGAGAAGAAAATAATGACGCCCAAAAGCGCTAAATACGAAATTAAGAAAAGTTGAACATGACCCTCACACACAGTACACACTCCTGAGTCCTGTGCCATTTAGGTGTAATCTGAATTTAAGTGCCTGGTATTTCTACCGAAACCACCGAAATTAAAGTTTTACACCGTAAATAACCTGTTTTACAGTACAGCGGTCATTAGTGCAAACGAGCTCTCCGCGCTAACGAGCTCTCCGCGCTAACGAGATCTCCTCGCTAACGAGCTCTCCTCGCTAACGAGCTCTCCTCGCAAACGAGCTCTCCTCGCTAACGAGCTCTCCTCGCTAATGAGCTCTCCTCGCAAACGAGCTCTCCTCGCAACCGAGCTCTCCGCGCTAAAGAGCTCTCCGCGCTAAAGAGCTCTCTGCGCTAACTCGCTCTCCGCGCTAATGCGCTCTCCGCGCTAACGAGCTCTCCGCGCTAACGAGCCGAGTTTCTAGCAAGCAAGCTAACGAGTACCTGATAAGATCTTTTCGACACTAAACAGTACAGCCACTGACTACCTACCACCAACTACCGCCGTTGATGACTATGCCTTTCTTTCTGATTGGTAGATAGACGACTTCAGTATTTGTAAATCCTCTGAAACACACAATTGGACAACATTGACGAATAATCAGCACGGAGACAACAATTTGAATAAAGCTTTGAGCAGTATCCAAGGCGCAATCATGACTATCTGGTCACATCCAAGAGACGTCGGTTTAATAATAGCTTGCATGCCGTCCTACCGGTAGGACCCAAGAAATCGCTCCGCAAAAGTGCATTTGGTTGAGAATTTTCTTCAACCAATTGTTGAGAGGAGGCCTTTGCAAGGCAAAGTAATGGCGCAAAATGTACTACAGGTCTTCCCCCGCTAATACGAGTCCGGTTAGTACATAAACCCTGTTAGTACATAAGAAATCTCAAGTCCCGGACGAAACGTCATCACTTCCATACAAATGTTGTCGGTTAGCACATAATTCGTTAGTACATAAACCCCGTTAGTACATAACATTTCTCCGTACCCGCATGCCACCTAACTCAATAGTACATAATTTGTTGGTCTTTTGGCCTTCCAGTGGAGGCACATCGTGTTCTAGTTTCTACTTGTGGATGCAATTAGCTCGGAAATCAGAGCGCACAAAGCTCTGTTTTTTTTCGAGTGACTATACGGGCGTGGCTGGGCATGTATCATGCAAACTGTAGAATCTTCGCTAACTGTGACCGGTATAACATAATTTTTATGTTATTTTGAGGGGATCAAGAATATCTCGCTGCCTAGTCATGGTAGCAAGAAACACTCAGAAAAGTAGAAAAAAGTGAAAAATTCTGGTACACAAGCAAGTTATGTACACTTTCGTTTAGTACATAAACCCCGTTAATACATAACATTTGTCAAGTCCCAGAGATTATGTATTAACGAGGGACGACCTGTACTATGTCCAGTACATTGCATACACTTCCCAAAATGCAAAGACTCAATTGTGGCCATCCACTATATCCCTGGGGGGGGAGGGGAGGGGGGAGGGCAGGGGGGAGGGGATGGGGGGATCAACGGTACTGTACGGTACTTGTAATAGCCAGGTGGGGACAGATACATGTACAGCATGGTAAACACATGGTGAAGTTAGTCAGAGGGAAACATGAAGGGAGAGATGAAGGGAGAGATGAAGGGAGAGATGAAGGGAGAGATGAAGGGAGAGATGGAGGGAGAGATGGAGGGAGAGATGGAGGGAGAGATGAAGGGAGAGATGAAGGGAGAGATGGAGGGAGAGATGAAGGGAGAGATGAAGGGAGAGATGGAGGGAGAGATGGAGGGAGAGATGGAGGGAGAGATGAAGGGAGAGATGAAGGGAGAGATGGAGGGAGAGATGAAGGGAGAGATGAAGGGAGAGATGGAGGGAGAGATGGAGGGAGAGATGAAGGGAGAGATGAAGGGAGAGATGGAGGGAGAGATGGAGGGAGAGATGGAGGGAGAGATGAAGGGAGACATGAAGGGAGAGATGAAGGGAGAGATGAAGGGAGAGATGGAGGGAGAGATGGAGGGAGAGATGGAGGGAGAGATGGAGGGAGAGATGGAGGGAGAGATGAAGGGAGAGATGGAGGGAGAGATGAAGGGAGAGATGGAGGGAGAGATGGAGGGAGAGATGAAGGGATGGAGGGAGAGATGGAGGGAGAGATGAAGGGAGAGATGGAGGGAGAGATGGAGGGAGAGATGAAGGGATGGAGGGAGAGATGGAGGGAGAGATGGAGGGAGAGATGAAGGGATGGAGGGAGAGATGGAGGGAGAGGGAGAGATGGAGGGAGAGATGGAGGGAGAGGGAGAGATGGAGGGAGAGATGGAGGGAGAGATGAAGGGATGGAGGGAGAGATGGAGGGAGAGGGAGAGATGGAGGGAGAGATGGAGGGAGAGGGAGAGATGGAGGGAGAGATGGAGGGAGAGATGAAGGGATGGAGGGAGAGATGGAGGGAGAGGGAGAGATGGAGGGAGAGATGGAGGGAGAGGGAGAGATGGAGGGAGAGATGGAGGGAGAGATGGAGGGAGAGGGAGAGATGGAGGGAGAGATGGAGGGAGAGATGAAGGGATGGAGGGAGAGATGGAGGGAGAGGGAGAGATGGAGGGAGAGATGGAGGGAGAGGGAGAGATGGAGGGAGAGATGGAGGGAGAGATGAAGGGATGGAGGGAGAGATGGAGGGAGAGGGAGAGATGGAGGGAGAGATGGAGGGAGAGGGAGAGATGGAGGGAGAGATGGAGGGAGAGGGAGAGATGGAGGGAGAGATGGAGGGAGAGATGAAGGGATGGAGGGAGAGATGGAGGGAGAGGGAGAGATGGAGGGAGAGATGGAGGGAGAGGGAGAGATGGAGGGAGAGATGGAGGGAGAGATGGAGGGAGAGGGAGAGATGGAGGGAGAGATGGAGAGGGAGAGGGAGAGATGGAGGGAGAGATGGAGGGAGAGGGAGAGATGGAGGGAGAGATGGAGGGAGAGATGGAGGGAGAGATGGAGGGATGGAGGGAGAGATGGAGGGAGAGATGGAGGGAGAGATGAAGGGATGGAGGGAGAGATGGAGGGAGAGGGAGAGATGGAGGGAGAGATGGAGGGAGAGGGAGAGATGGAGGGAGAGATGGAGGGAGAGATGGAGGGAGAGATGGAGGGATGGAGGGAGAGATGGAGGGAGAGATGGAGGGATGGAGGGAGAGATGGAGGGAGAGGGAGAGATGGAGGGAGAGATGGAGGGAGAGGGAGAGATGGAGGGAGAGATGGAGGGAGAGATGGAGGGAGAGATGGAGGGATGGAGGGAGAGATGGAGGGAGAGATGGAGGGATGGAGGGAGAGATGGAGGGAGAGGGAGAGATGGAGGGAGAGATGGAGGGAGAGATGGAGGGAGAGATGGAGGGATGGAGGGAGAGATGGAGGGAGAGATGGAGGGAGAGATGGAGGGAGAGATGGAGGGAGAGATGGAGGGAGAGATGGAGGGAGAGATGGAGGGAGAGATGGAGGGAGAGATGGAGGGAGAGAGGGAGAGATGGAGGGAGAGATGGAGGGAGACATGAAGGGAGAGATGAAGGGAGAGATGGAGGGAGAGATGGAGGGAGAGATGGAGGGAGAGATGGAGGGAGAGATGGAGGGAGAGGGAGAGATGGAGGGAGAGAGGGAGAGATGGAGGGAGAGAGGGAGAGCTGGAGGGAGAGAGGGAGAGATGCAGGGAGAGAGGGAGAGATGAAGGGAGAGATGGAGGGAGACATGAAGGGAGAGATGGAGGGAGAGATGGAGGGAGAGATGGAGGGAGAGATGGAGGGAGAGATGGAGGGAGAGGGAGAGATGGAGGGAGAGATGGAGGGAGAGGGAGAGATGGAGGGAGAGATGGAGGGAGAGGGAGAGATGGAGGGAGAGATGGAGGGAGAGATGAAGGGATGGAGGGAGAGATGGAGGGAGAGGGAGAGATGGAGGGAGAGATGGAGGGAGAGGGAGAGATGGAGGGAGAGATGGAGGGAGAGATGAAGGGATGGAGGGAGAGATGGAGGGAGAGGGAGAGATGGAGGGAGAGATGGAGGGAGAGGGAGAGATGGAGGGAGAGATGGAGGGAGAGATGGAGGGAGAGGGAGAGATGGAGGGAGAGATGGAGGGAGAGATGAAGGGATGGAGGGAGAGATGGAGGGAGAGGGAGAGATGGAGGGAGAGATGGAGGGAGAGGGAGAGATGGAGGGAGAGATGGAGGGAGAGATGGAGGGAGAGGGAGAGATGGAGGGAGAGATGGAGGGAGAGATGGAGGGAGAGATGGAGGGATGGAGGGAGAGATGGAGGGAGAGATGGAGGGATGGAGGGAGAGATGGAGGGAGAGGGAGAGATGGAGGGAGAGATGGAGGGAGAGGGAGAGATGGAGGGAGAGATGGAGGGAGAGATGGAGGGAGAGATGGAGGGATGGAGGGAGAGATGGAGGGAGAGATGGAGGGATGGAGGGAGAGATGGAGGGAGAGGGAGAGATGGAGGGAGAGATGGAGGGAGAGATGGAGGGAGAGATGGAGGGATGGAGGGAGAGATGGAGGGAGAGATGGAGGGAGAGATGGAGGGAGAGATGGAGGGAGAGATGGAGGGAGAGATGGAGGGAGAGATGGAGGGAGAGATGGAGGGAGAGATGGAGGGAGAGAGGGAGAGATGGAGGGAGAGATGGAGGGAGACATGAAGGGAGAGATGAAGGGAGAGATGGAGGGAGAGATGGAGGGAGAGATGGAGGGAGAGATGGAGGGAGAGATGGAGGGAGAGGGAGAGATGGAGGGAGAGAGGGAGAGATGGAGGGAGAGAGGGAGAGCTGGAGGGAGAGAGGGAGAGATGCAGGGAGAGAGGGAGAGATGAAGGGAGAGATGGAGGGAGACATGAAGGGAGAGATGGAGGGAGAGATGGAGGGAGAGATGGAGGGAGAGATGGAGGGAGAGATGGAGGGAGAGATGGAGGGAGAGATGGAGGGAGAGATGGAGGGAGAGATGGAGGGAGAGATGGAGGGAGAGATGGAGGGAGAGATGGAGGGAGACATGAAGGGAGAGATGAAGGGAGAGATGGAGGGAGAGATGGAGGGAGAGATGGAGGGAGAGATGGAGGGAGAGGGAGAGATGGAGGGAGAGAGGGAGAGATGGAGGGAGAGAGGGAGAGCTGGAGGGAGAGAGGGAGAGATGCAGGGAGAGAGGGAGAGATGGAGGGAGAGATGGAGGGAGAGAGGGAGAGATGCAGGGAGAGAGGGAGAGATGGAGGGAGAGAGGGAGAGATGGAGGGAGATATGGAGGGAGATAGGGAGAGATGGAGGGAGAGAGGGGGAGATGGAGGGAGAGAGGGGGAGATGGATGGAGAGAGGGAGGGAGAGAGGAGATGTGTGGCGAGCTGAATTCCTGACATCAGGGCTACACAGCATCTGAAGCAGGATTCAGAGAAGTTATTTTTGTGATGCGTGATGGGACGCTATCTGTGAAGCCGAAGTGCGAAGGAAACTCATGAAGCACCATTCACGTAAGCCCAGCAGGGCAACATCAGCCTGTATGCTGTTGCATGAACGGAATGTCCTTTGACTTCAACAAGACTTTCACCCTCCCAGGCCCAGGCAGTATAAAGGATCAGGACTTGTTTTCGTGTACGCACCACTATTATTGTCTGAGGTACTGACAACCATCGTGTCCACACCATCGGCGGACCTAGAATCAGCAGGACTGAGGAGTCTGAGGAACTTGGCAGACCTGGAGCACCTGCGGGCAATCGCCGCGGACAGGCCTGCGTGGCGCGAGCTGTGCCAGGATGTACGCAGTAATTAACGGATGGAACAGAGGCATTGTACAGATCCCGTGCATTTAGCACTTACCATCGACCATGAGTTACAAACCTATCGCTGTTGTCTGTTAATCTTGTTTTATTTTTTGATCTTTCGAAAAGATCCCGTGCATTGAGCACCTATCATCGAACATGAGTTATGTGCCTACCGCCTGCTGTCTTACATTTATTTTTTGTTTTCCTCCCTGCCCACTCTGCCTGTCTTCTGGCACATGCGAATACGTGGACTTACTGTTGACGTAAACGCGGACGTGCGTATAATAATAATACTGAAAACCCAGTGTGCAAGTTTCACATCAATGCAGTGTGAACAGAATGTGAACATCGCGCTATTCACAACTTACAAAAGAATAGTATTGCTAGGCCATTTGTCCACGGGAAGGGTGATAAAAGGGTTGCCACCTACTTCGCTGAAAAGCACACAGAATTGCATCAAACGCACGGACACAGGCAATGCAAAAATCATGAAAAATGCACAAAGAGCCCAGCAATCGCCAGCTTGATGGCTAAACATTACACGCTAAGGGGTTGTCGCAAAAGTTTTCTGTCGCCCCTGGAACGAACATCGTTCATTTCGTACTTGGACCCCCTCCCCTCCCTCTGAAACAGCTGGACAATATTGCAACAGTAACGGTCCTCTCCGGAAGCCACTTCTGCCTGGCCTGCCCTAGTATGGTGTAGTCACCGGAAGCCACTTCTGCCTGGCCTGCCCTAGTATGGTGTAGTCAGTATCAAGGCATGGAAGTAAACCCCTGGATCGCCAGCACATGCTGACACAATGAGAACGATGACTTACATGATAATATTTCTGGAATAACCATTGGTAGCAAATAGGTCTCCGGGAAGCGTTTTCAGTTCTTTGTTCCCGCCAAGAATGCTGTGATAAATGTGCAAGTCAAGACAGAAAACGAGCATTGACGGAGGCCTACCTAAGGAGAGCTTGGAGAGTTTGTAGAAGATATTACTCGTAAGGAGATTGCTACAGAGAATGGCTGTTGAAGTTGTTGATGACAAACCAAAGAGAATAGATAGACTTCTTGCATGTGCTTATGTAGGAACAGAGCTTATTCAGAAAGAGGGATAGAGAGAATTGAGAGGTTCTGCAAAACGAAAATGCTTACAAACCTTCGCTCTACGTCATGAAGTGCGAAACTTCACACGAACTTTCGCAAGTGTTGACGCGAAACTTGCAGGGAACGCGAAATGAACTTTCGTAGGAAGTTTCATGAGATGTGACCATGGCGTACGTGCACTTGGCGTGTGCAAACTACGAAAATGTGCAGAACGCAAAGTTCGAGCGTAAATTTGTACATACTTTCGCAAGGACAGCCGCGAAACTTCGTTCGAATTTTCGTTTTCCAGAACCTCTCTAGTTAGGGATATCAGCGAACACACTGCGCACGGGGTTTGCGCAGTTTTCAGTGCTACCATACCAATGTACGTACTGGCGGGGACAAAAAATTGACGCAAATAAAATGGCGACTGGTCGAACGTGGCTCGGACCTACATAATTATTTGAATAATTTGAAAGTACATACTGCTGTGAACAGACCCCCATTGTTTCGATTCTGATTATGTCCGACTACTGTGAATGCACCTCACTTTGGGCATCCTCTGCCAGCAATTACACTAACGAACTTATACAAAACACACAGTATTAAAAATCGGTGAAGGACGACAGGCCCATGTTCGTCGATCGTCCAAGCTTCTTCATCTTCCTGAGTTCTTCTTGAATGATCGACCTTGTGCACCTTTCACCTCTGGGACCTTGCATTGCTTCGGTCAATTTTTTCTTGCTTGGCACATGGATAGATCCATGGGTGAGGTACCAGTTCACCAAAACTTAGAAGATTTCTCCGGTGGGAACGTTGTAAAAAATCGCCTTCGATTCACCCACGCTCCTTGGGCATCGAAGGACAAATTTGAAAATTCGTCTGAAGAAAGTCCTGGGGCTCGGCTCATCTGTAGTTAATCGCGTGGCTGTTACCGTAGGCATGTCACTCTTTACCCACGAATCCTTCATCAGCAGCGAATATACGAAGCAATCAACGAAACGGCAGATCCTGAGCGCAAGGTTCCGACTTCAGCCGCCATTCTCCTTCTTCTCCATCAAGACTCCTTCCAGTTTCCCGGCAAAAATATACATTTTCTGACTTGGACTTTTCTGGCCGCGCGCGTGGCATGTTGACATGTACAAAATTCGATTACATCATAACTGCGCAAACCCTCTGCGCAGTGTGTTCGCTGATATCCCTACTCTAGTGCATGTAAGTGTGTGTGTACGTGTGTGTGTGAGGGTGTGTGTGAGAGTGAGAGTGAGATAGATAGAGAGACATACAGATGTACAGACGGATGGGTGGACGGACAGACGGATGGGTGGACGGACAGATGTTACCGTATATCCGCACCTTTAAAGCCATGGCGGTATATTCGATTATAAAGCCAGTCTCAGTCATAAAGCCATGGGCTTCATAAATGAAATGATATTTGAAGTATATTTTGCAAAATGAAGGAATAAGTACTAGGCTAACAAACTTACAGCCCAGCAGGAAGGTGAACAAGTAGATTTAGATTGACATTTCTGTGTGGACTTTGACTTTTGTGGCATGGCGTTTTGGGTGAGTCATTTTGCATCAAAAATATCTAGAAAAGCAGTGGTGTTTCAAATATAAGGCCACGGCTTTAAAGGCACTGACATACGGTAAGCAAGGGCTTGGTTCTCCAGACTATGGCACACGAGGAAAAGGTCAAGCTAGAAAATCCATCACAGACAATAGTAGTAGTTGGGCATTTGGCCATGTACAGTCCTTTTCAAAACTATAGACGCGTAGGGTTTTTGACATATTTCAAATTTGGCTGGAGTTTTTTCAGAATACTTTTCGGAATATTGCTTAGGTCCGCTCCACAATTACTCTCATATAGTTTCTAAACGATTGGATAACAGACGCCCAATTTGGAAAAAATTATGCACAAAGTGATCACAGATTTTATGTGGTATAGATGCTGGCATAACGGTTTTTGCCTAGGTACGCGTCTATAGTTTTGAAATGGACTGTAATACTGTTGTCTGAGACAGATAGACAGACAGACAGACAGACAGACAGACCGACACACAAACATGCAGACTAGACAGATAGACACACAGACACACAGACAGACAGACCGACACACCGACACACAAACATGCAGACTAGACAGATAGACACACAGACACACAGAGACGAGGCAGACAGACAACTGAATAAGCCCATTGCGCATTTGCCAAACATGGCCTGCACGAGTAATGCATGCGAGCACGCTGGGTTCAGAAGTGCATTGTTAAACACTCCACACGACCATGCCCAGGACCAGGTGGCTTTGTGGGCCTATGAGGTGGTGGGGGTACAAATTACCTCATTGCGCAATGGACGTATATAGCCAAACCACAAAACAGGAGCAAGACTTGACTTTGTGTTATGTTCCAAGGCCATTTCTCTTTCTCGTTAGTGTAGTGTTACATGTATGAGCTGTCAATGTGCTATTGGATAGCCAATGTGCCGGATGAGTGAACACTGGATCAGCAATGCTCATGAAGTAAGTGTTATTCACGGTGCCTATTACAGAGGTGAAAAAATGCTGAGGCAAGCAAGGATTCTAAGCTGAACAGAGCTGCAAAACATTCTTGTCTGGCTCATTTCAGCTGCTGCACATTAACTTGAAATAAACCTGTGGAAACCAGTCACGACAACATCTACCATCTAATCCCATTCTGTACACTCCCTAGCGATCAACTCTTGAACTATATCACCATATTTTCAACTGATGTTACCTCATAGCCTCATAATATAGCTAATCACCATTATTTATTGCATCTCTCTTATTGGCCAACGGCCACCGTGAGAGAAAAATTCAAAAATATGTATATGGTAAAACGCGTAACCTCTAGCAAAATAGAAAGACATGCCAAGTAAAACTGGGTTTTTTCACCCACTATGATAAATAACCGCATTACTACACGAACAGGGCTGGGCGAAGGTACGCTAAGTTGGTTTGTAGCAAGAAACTTTGCTGGCATGCATTACCCGGCATGTGTTAAGTGATCACTCAGAGTCGTGTTGCAACGAAGGTGTATTTTTGACAGCAGGTACCATTTAGCACTTACAGTTGAACGATACTGGGATTGTATGACAGCAAACCATTCGGTACTGAAACCAGTGCATTTCTGTCCAAGAATCTGTGGACAAAGCCAGGAATTGAACAGGAGCAAGAGTGAGGAAAAGTAAAACACCAATGAACTACGGGGCTACTTGTATGTGCAGGTGTGCAGGTGTGTGCATGTGCAGGTGTGTGCATGTGTATGTGTGTATGTGTGTATGTGTGTATGTGTGTATGTGTGTACCGTACGTACATGTATGTGTATGTATGTATGTATGCAATCTGTTTTCAGGAACAAGAACTTAGATCTTCATATTAAACGCTGTGTGTTTAATGCTTGTGTCCTGTCTCTGCTCCTGTATGGGTCCGAGTGCTGGACGCCGCTGACACAGGACCTCCGTCGCATGTCTTTTTTCCACATGCGATGCGTGCGGTCGATATTGGGCATAACACGCCATCGTTGCTGGGATGACTACATATCCAACAGCCAGCTGCTTGAGTGGTGCGGTGACTCTGAAACCATCGTCACCAAGGTTCAGCATCGGCGCCTCGAGTGGCTTGGCCATGTCGCCCGCATGGACGACGTGCGATTGCCCAAACAGTTGCTGTTCGTCGCTCGGCACATGGCCCACGTCGGCGGTGGAAAGACTGCGCTGTAAAGGACCTCTGCTCACGAGACCTTGAAGCGGACTGGTACAGAGTGGCCTGTGACTCTCGCCCAGACTGGAGGTTGGCTTACACCTCGGACGCCCCGGATCCCCTCGTACTGGCACCGGTGAATTGTTTCACATGCGCCCGGCACTTCGCATGTCAGGGTGACCTCGCTAGGCACAAGTGCACGGCTGAACGGCAGAAGCCGGTTTTGGAGCAGAGAGGTGCATGTCAGTGCCCTCGGTGTCATCGTTGGTTCCGGAGCCGCGGCTTGGCTGTGCATCGTTGCTCCGCTTCTACCTCGTGCCCAGTACCGACCGAACCAGTTGCTGTTGTCACCGGTGACAATACCGCTCGGAGGTGCTGCAATGCTCACTGTGGCACCTGCAATCATTGTTTCCGTTCAACCATGGGACACAACCGCCATCGCTGTTCAACGCACTGCCACCGACCAACGGCCAGAGAACGGGATAAGTTCCCGCATATGTGTATCTGCTCTCGCCGGTTCCGACTAGTCTCCCATCTGGAGCGCCATCGGGTGGCGTGCTCTTTCTCTCTCTCTGCTGCCCCTCCGGGGCCCACGTGACCCTAGTGGTAGTGGCTCTACAGGGCAGGACAGGACAGGTATGTATGTATGTATGTATGTATGTACAAATATTACACAGCAATGAATCAAACAAGTCTCATTCCGCTGTAACTCCGAGTTTCGTGTCAGTCACTGTATGTATGTATGTAGCCACATCCGCCCGTTTCCTAGGAAGCTGTATCGGTGAACCTGACGGATTGAAATCGTTTGCCAAGGAGAGAGTGGAGACGTGGGTGAGCAATGTCAATTGCCTTGCCGCTGCTGCCAGGAAAGAGAGAGGTTCCGCATAACGTAATTGGGTTAGTAAAAAACGAAGTCGATCTACGGAAAGTCTTACGTAAACTACATGCGTATCTGTGTTCCGCCATACAGAGTTTTCAAATCACGTTACCTAAATGTAGCTGCCCTTGGCAACTCCGAATGCGACAGTGTACGACCAGATCAACCTGGGGAGAGAGTCATAAATTTGTACCCCAATCCACTTACGGACCAGCTACGTTATCAAAGCCCTATCTACGTACTCTACGTAGACAACTTTCCGTAAGTGGAGTGCAAACTCGCGAATTGTGCATTGAATCGCTCGCTCTCATGTGAGTGGTCATACCTCCAGCGTGTTGTCCAGGGTCTTGAAGAGGAGTTTGCTCGGCTTCGAGACGTCATCCTGGAGCAATTTGCCCCAGCCATCCTTGGGCGGGAGGTTCTTCCTCGGGAACACCAGCTCCTCACCCTGCCAGTCAAGTATGGTGGCTTGGCTTTGGCTTTGGCTTTGGCCGATCCTGTCCACACAGCACCCCAGGCTTATCAGAACTTGAAAAACGCAACTGACATCCTGCGCAACTCCATCCAATCTGGTAACCCCGTAAACATAAATGATCACAGCGCTCATTGTCGCCGCACCACAAGCCAAATCAGCAGGGAACGGGATGTGATTTCCGCTGAAATCAGTCAATCAATTCTCAGTGACCTGCCACAGCTTGAGGAGCGCACCCTCTCCCGCATCGTATGGGGAAATACCTCCGGATGGACTACGGTGTTGCCCCTGAAGCGCGAGGGGTATGATTTGTCAAGTACAGAATTTCGAGATCAACTTGCTATCCGCTATGGTCGTCAGCTGCTTGCCCTGCCAGCGCAATGTGATGGTTGCGGGAAGCCCTTCTCTCTTCAGCATGGCCTTGACTGCCCGAAAGGTGGACTTATCAAGCGAGGCCACAATGATCTGCGTGATAGCGATGCAAAGCTAGCTGATATGACATTTGGTGGTGTTGTCGTCGAGCCGATCATGGTGCCGGAGGGTGATCGGACGGGGCAGCCTGCTCTTCGGGCAGATTGGCTTGCCCGGGGTGTGTGAGAGGTTAACAGGGCGGCGCATTTTGATAATCGCATCATTGATGCCAACACACCCAGTTACTCCTATTCATTCTGGGAAGCTACTTCCAACCGCGCTGCTAACGCGAAGAAAAAGAAGTACCGTCAGGCCTCCGAGGACCTCCGTGGGTCGTTCACACCACTGGTTTGTTCCACGGATGGGGTGCTACATCGCGAATACGCCAGCTATCAGAAGCGACTTGCTGGTCGCTACGCCCTCAAGTGGGACAAGCCATTTTCAACCATTATGGCTTGGGTGCAAATTCGCAACCAATAGACCCTTTGCACAATAACGGTCACGTGATCCGAGACGGGGCATCCACTTCGATTTTTGTGCAGAGTATCAGTTGTTGAGCATGGTGAAACACTGTATTTTCCATTTTGGAGATGGAGGAGAGTGTCGAGTGGTTTGCCATCGATGGCTCTGGAACCAGTGGAGGAGCTGTCAAATAAAGAATGGTCTGTGAAGGAACTGAACAGTTTTCTGCTGAATGAGGGTGCGTATCTGTCTGGAAAAAGAACAAGTTATTGGAGCGGTAAGTTAGTTTTCCGCAGTCAGTGGATATTTCGGATTATAATACTGTAGATTGAAATTTATTTTTCTTTTCTCTACCTTCTCTCCTCTGTCGATGTAGAGAATGCTTCCCTATGCAGAACCCTGATGCTCCTAGAACTAAGAGAAGAGGGCCACCAGTCTTCCTCGAGTGTACCTTCATCATGCCCAACTTTGTCATGCGTCCGAGTGGATGAGTGATGAACTTCTGTTTCCCAGAGTGAGTGCCACACCATGCGTGCTCATCTCCAACGCAGGGGCAAGTCGTCGACGACAGTGAAGAGGGCTAGGGAGCTGATGGAGTAGTACTAGTGAAGAAGCCCGTGGATAGTGTTCATCAGTTTTACTTTGGTGGCTATGTGCATAATGTGAAAGTCTGTCATATCGTGCACACAGCCACAGCTCGAACTCAGATGACTTTCTCCGCACACCTGAGCGATGAGGCTGCGTCGCTCTGCACTTCAACATCAGCAGCTCGAGCAGCGCCAGCAAGCAGTCGATCTTCCTTGCAAATACAGGGATGGGTCATACCTTTTTTTCAGGCTCCAGAGTCTCTTGGCAGGGCGTTCAGCGTCTTCGCAAAAGCAAGGATGAAAGTCGTCATCGACAAAGTGTTCCGAGCACAACACTGTGAACGATGTCGCAGCAAACTGCGGCCCTCTTCTCGCCAGATAGCGAGGATTCAAGAGTGTGGAATGCCAGCATAACCAGGGAATGCATGGAAAGACAAGTGGGTTTCTTAGACTAGCCACTAGGGATGACGGTTGCTGCAAACAAGAACCCAACAGAGGTCCTTGGAAAGCATTTTGGAACTTCTTCCTTCAGAACTAAAAAAACTTCAAATGAAAAAGGCTGGAAAGTACATACATGAACATCGCGTCTGGACCGTGAAAACACAGCCTGTCACAGGAAACTTGATCACGTCCTGCAGCAAACCATGCATGCTGGTTGCATGCCAAGTGTGCAGAGCGTGCACAGCATGCCCCGTCTCGACCCCTCTCGCTTATTGTGCAAAGGGTCTATTTGCAGTGATCCATGCAGTCGACCTCCGGCTACGCGGGTCTAGAAGGCGCCTGACAGGCCTGTCGACGCAGGATGGTGCTGGGGTAGGCATTGGCCATTGAGAACTGAATTTCGTCTGTTTTACGTGGAATTTTTGGAGTTTTCCAATGTATTGTACTTGAATAAAATTCTATTTTACCTTTCATGGTATCTCAATTTTTTAGCGTCTACATGACTTTATCTTGCCCGTAAAAGAGGCCGTTACCCCGCCAAAAAATGTATGTATGTATGTATGTGCATAAGTGGGTACACCCAGGTTTCAACAGTGCTCAACGCCACAAGGGTGGAGCGTAACCACAAAGGTCAAAAAGAATGGTTCCACCAATTATATATACATACGTTGTAATGCTGCATTTCAAGCACGTAGCTGTAAATGCTAAGGCAATCATCAGACAACACAACATTATCTGATGAATGCCTTAGCATTTACAGCTACGTGCATGAAACGCAGCGTTACAACGTATGTATATATAATTGGTGGAACCATTCTTTTTGACCTTTATGTATGTATGTATGTATGTATGTATGTATGTATGTATGTACACGAGTCACAGAAAACCACGCGTCTTGATTGTCGTAACTTAAAGTTTCATGCCATATAGCAATCTTCAGACAACTGATGTAATCACTTGTCTGAAGATTGTTATATGGCATGAAAGTTTAAGTTACGACAATCAAGACGCGTGGTTTTCTGTGACTCGTGTGTTACTGCTCTGCTTCCACATTGAGCACTCTATCGAACCGGAGGACTCCGCTCTCTGTATGCATGTATGTATGTATGTATGTATGTACTCAAATCTGCGGACAGCAACTGTTTCGCTCTGTTAGAGCTCCTCAGCACAGCTCAGAGGACCGAAGCACAGCTCTTCGCAATGAAATACGTTTCCGTGAAGCAAAGCATTTTTATAAAGAGCTGCAAACCCCGCCAAGAGTGCCCAAAATGCTCCCAAGAGCAGTGAGCGTTGCACAAGGCGAGCGGCAAGGGTTTGCGCTAAGTATGTATGTTTGTATGTATGTAAGGTAAAGTCCTGCACATTATACATTGCGGGCGATTGCCTTGGAGCCGCGCGCCGTGCAAGGAAAGACTGGTTTGAACTGGCGAAAGGAGACATCGAGCCTCTTCTTCGCAAACGTGATACAGTCAACTTGGCTTATAACGACACTCGGCGGGGCATCAAAAAGGCGTACTTATTCGCGAAGTGTCGTTACACCCGAAGTCTCATTATATATATTACAGTGGGATGGGACTTTGCTCTGAGCATGGAAATGCTGCCGTTATTCGCGAATTGTCGTTATATCCGCAGTCGTTATTAGCGAAGTTGACTGTATATTGTATAAGAAGTGGCAGTCATCAAAGCGCGACTCTGATCGGACAGCGTACCAATGCGCACGTAGTGAATCTCGTGCAGTTGTTCGACAGGCCAAGGGCAGATTCCTTAAACTCAATGCTGAAGCTGCTATGCGCTGGTGTCATGGTGAACGGGGTGCGTGGGAGTGCATTCGCAACATACATCATGCCACTAAGGGACTGATGCCAACTGTCTCAACTCGAATCAAGAAAGCCAATGGTGACGAGTGTGTCTCTATCGCAAAGACCCATGCGCGCTGGGGTGAGCATTTTCAGACTGTGCTAAACGTCATCAATGATGTTGATGATGATGCGCTTACCAGCATCCCCCAACGGAATACCGATGCAGAACTCGCTATGCCACCAACAATTCAGGAAGTCTGCAAGGCCCTTGGGACTCTGCAAAACAGGAAGGCACCTGGATACTCTGGTATTTTGCCCGAACTACTGAAATATGGTGGCCCGATGCTCGTTTCCAAGCTACACGAGCTTGCGGTAGACTGCTTTCAGGCGGGTGAAGTTCTACAGGAGTGGAAGGATGCTGTTTTGGTTCCGATTCCCAAGAAGGGCAATTTGACGTTATGCGATAACTGGCGTGGGATATCACTCCTCGACGTTTCTGGCAAAGTAATTGCGCGGCTTATTGCTAACAGGTTGCAGAAGTTTGCGGAGTCCCTTCTTCCAGATTCCCAATGCGGATTCCGTCCTGGGAGAGGCACTGTGGACATGGTTTTCTCACTGTGTCAAGTCATCGAAAAACTCCGTGAACATCAAGCCCAAGGTTTTGACCTGTCCCTCCGGGGACTACGTAGCCAGACTTGGCAGCAGAATCAAGATCAAGATGTTGTATGTACAGTGAAACCTGTCTAAGGCGACCCCTCAAGAGATGAGAAAAAGTTGTCGCCGTGGCCAGGTGGTCTTCTTATCCAGGTTCAGTGGGTCATGTGACCATACCCACATGTGATACATCATTTTGATCAGTGTACCACAGTGCACACGCCTATCCTACTCTAGCACTACTCGTGTGGCTGGGGTCCTCCGACCTGTCAAGTGTCGTGCATGCACCATGTACATCTACACTTCCTGCACTGATGTGTAGATCTACCATGCCTGGTGCACCATGCAATGCGTACATTTACATGTACTGTACTAGTACTGTGCAACGTGGTCGCGGGTGGGAGATCGTCGGTCGCGTTTGGCGAGTGGTCGCCTTATCCGAGCTGTTTTGAATGTGAATGCGTCCGTTTCAAGGAAAAGTGGTCGCCATGGTCGAGTGGTCACCATATCCGAGTGGTCGCCATATCCGAGTGGTCGCCATATCCGAGTGGTCGCCATATCCGAGTGGTCGCCATATCCGAGTGGTCGCCATATCCGAGTGGTCACCATATCCGAGTGGTCGCCATGGTCGAGTGGTGGCCTTATCCGAGTGGTCGCCATATCAAGTTTTACTGTATGTATGTTTGTATGTGCCCGTAGATTGAGTATTTTCGCTCCTGCTCTTGTAGTAGTTCCGCACTCTCATGTGGGGTAGTGCCTTTGCTGTTTACATTACGCAGAGCTCACTGACTTGTCAGTTTGAGCACTCTGGCAAGGTACGTTCGAGCCTGGTTTAAATCTGGCTTTCTCTTTCTATTTTCATTGCTATCAGGTTCGGCCTCATCATCATGTGTGGGGGGGGGGGGGTGAGTTCACAAAGAACGAAACAGCATGCTGCCCGCAGATTGAGTATTTTCGCTCCTGCTCTTGTAGTAGTTGAGCATTCTCATGTGGGGTAGTGCCTTTGCTGTTTGCGTTATGCAGAGCTCACTGACTTGTAGTATGTTTGTATGCATGTATGTACGTATGTACGTTTGTGTGCATGTACACATGTGTGTGTGCACATGTGTACATGTGTATGTTGCATGCGAGTCTCGGGACAAACAATGGCGCAAGCGTTACTTACAGCCTGATGCCATACTCGAGCCTGCACCTAGGGTGGAATGTGCGGTGTGGGGTGTGCGATGGCGACTTTGCATGGAGTTGGGGTGTCGCTCGCCACAGGTGCCTTGACAAACGTGCCCACTATCTGTATGCCAGCAGAGTGGAGCGTACCAATGTGGAGTGTGTGTGTGGTGGTGGCTGCATAGCTGAGGTGGACTGGCTCATCATAGTTGTTATGTGTTGGAGGCTGAGACACACGTTGTGGCAGAGTGAAATCCAACTGTCAAGCCGTCAGGCGAAATACCACGTCATAGTACATTTGAGATCAGCGGGAAGAAGATGCCGACGTCCACTAATTTAGTATCTGTGCACACGAATCTGCTGTGTGTGTGTGACTCTGTGTGTCAGCTATGATATCATCTTCTGTGGTTCCATGCCTACATTTACGTCTGAACCATCCTGCAAAGTTTGAATGACGTAGGTTGAGCGATCGCTCCGCGAAACATACTTTTTGAAATTCTCTTCATAGTATATCTTCCACCATTTAAATTTTCGAATTTCTTCAAAAAAAAGTGCTGAGAGGGGTAGCTTGCAACCTCGATATGGCTTGTTCCAGGCATGCTTTGGAGCCATCTTCTGTTGAAGTAGTGGCGGGGATCTGCCCTGCAACTGATACAACAAAAAATGATTCGATCTGAGAAAGGGTGAGACCGCAAATCTCGGTTGAATATTGAGTATTTCAAGCCTTATCATGACGAAGATGGAGTTCTTTTTGGAGATGGACGTCGCGGCAAAGGACATGGTGTCCGACTTCTGGCGTCTGGTGAAGCCAGGGATCATTTGTCCGGTCAGGTCGGCAGCCTAACCGTCGGTAAGCTTGTGTTTGGATCCCGTTCTGCTCAATGTGGTAGATCACAAACAATTTGATATCGCACAAGTTGATCTCAGCATCGTCCGTACGGTATTTTATATTCGGAAAATCCCAAAGTGTCTCTGTGTGGCCGTCCTATGCCACGAGAAACTCCAATCAGGCTCCTATGTCCTCTGCCTTCATGATTGAATGTCCACTTCGTTTGAACAACGAACACAACAATCGTGGACGGCTTTGCAATGAAAAATACAGCTATACTGGAAAAAAGAAAGAAAAAAAACGAGCTCAGGATGAGACTCGAGTACACGCATACTCTCCCAGCAGGTGAAACGGAAATTTTTGTGAAAAATGCGTGTCGCCGACTGACCAGTAATTTCGCCTCACGATTGCGTGGCACACTGCACACTGCTTCTGCAGCGTACATAGTCGGAATTGTCATCGGTGCCCCAGGCGGCCAAATGCTGATGAGTGAGCGTGTTTCCTCCACGCATGTGTGTGTGCAGCAAGCGCTTTCACCAATTGACACACCTGGAGCGTCATCAACAGTCACGCCCCCCCCCCCCTCCTCTCCTCTCTCTATTCTTCAACTTCCCGAATCGGGACAACATAACCCTAGCAGCAGTGGCTCAACAGGACATGAACAGGTGCATGTGCATGTGTGTGTGCGCGTGTGTGTGCATGGTTCACCTTTGGCCAGCTCCAGGGTTTACAGAGACATGGCCAATCCAAGGGGGTGCAACTGCAACATCTTGGAATGTCGCTTTCCGTAAGCACACACACACACACACACACACACACACACACACACACACACACACACACACACACACACAAACACACACACACACACATACACACACACTCACGCACACACACACACACACACACACACACACACACACACACACACACACACACACACACACAAACAAACACACACACACATACACACACACACACACAGCTACATTGTGAGGCCTTACAGATATTGTAATCTTGGCATGGTATCAAAAATGCCAGCAGGCAGTGTTGAGAGCTTGTTGCCTGCCAAGGTCCTGTGAAACCCAAAGTGAAAAAAAGTACACAAAGCAAACAACACCCGTGTTTAACCCGTGACGATTCTTGGTTCAGTGTGGTTCGTTCTGCAAGTAGTTTCAAGCAGTTGAAAGTTCTAGAAGCAGTCTACATTTGCATTCGTGATCCAAATCTTTGTAAACAAAAAGAAAATGTCACCGCACTTACACTCTTCCAGTAAATTCGCACTCACACACACTTGCACATGCATGTACATTGTCACACTGCACTTGCTGAATTTCCTATCATTTCTCACCTGTATGGTTTTTATTACCTGTACACATTTCTCCTAATTTTGTGCTATTTTTCTTACTATTCTTTTATCCTCATTGTTTCACTCCAAGTGTATATATCCTACTGTAATTTCATCATTCTCTTTAGTCACGAATTCCATCGATAATTGTGACACGAATCCTTCCTCTTGTCCACATATATAGGCTTAAACTATTAGTATTCGTCCATCGCTGTATCCAGTCTGCTACAAGTCCCCTTTTTAATAATTTCTTTATTCAAATTAATGCTGCATGCCCGCCAACCGCCGCATAACTCGTGGTCATTCCTCCAATCTCCTGCAAATGCCCTTCCAAAGAGGCCCTTATAGCCGATTATCAATCCAGTTTGTGGGAAGCGTATTGTGAAACAGTCTCTCGGCCGAACTTCGATCTATTGGAGGGAAGAAGCGGTTGCGTGATGCATTGTGCTCGCAAGACCTGCTTATTCTCCCAGTTGCCTAAACCGCTTTTTGTACTGTGCCAAAGATCTGGATCTTACTCCTGCTTCTTAATCTACTTCCTCCGTTAACAAAAAACTTCGTGATGGATTTTTGAGAGACTGGTTTGCGCACAAACTACAGTGAAATGAGTGGCGATCACTTTCTCGGCCTTCCTTGGCATGCCGTGAAAGAGGTACGATGCAAGGAAAGCGACCTTTCACAACAAGCCGAGTTGAATGGATGGTTGCACTCTGGCAACATAGGTGATGACAGTAATGGCGAGCGAAACTGAATACCACTTCCCCGAGGGGATAATGCCCTGCTTGGCCTCTCTACTACTCTAGCACTGACTTTGAGAGTGATAGAGAGTGATGGAACGGAGCAGCAAGCCCACACAATGAGCGAGTGAACAAGGAGCTGCTCCGATCACACAGCGCAATGAAATGGTTCTGAATTCAAGTAGGGTAGTTCTTGTTCAGCCTGCGCAAAGCCCAGATTCGAATGCTGATGCCCATGCATTCTTTCAGAAGTCTGCAGTCCGACGCGAGTCTCGTGGCTAAGGAAAGTCGACTGGACTTGCTAGCAGCTGCCGTTCAGTGCTGGCAGGAGTATCCGTCAGAGAAAATGGAATCAGTTCGGCTGTAACTCCTCGTTTCGCAGAGTTCTGGAGCGCGGAGATGAAACCAAGGAGTGGTAACATATTTTTACTGCTCCCTGGTGGAACAGAGTAATCGCCACAGCGGCGGATCACGCAGCTTGAAAGCTAAGTACTTACTTGAACGACGGCGACATCAAGTTGAGCGGTGTGTGATCAAAGAAGCCGAGGCAAGACTGAAAGGAGCTGAACAACGACTCGAAAGAGATGACGACTCGCGCACAGCAGATGACGACAGCGACGCAGGGTCAAAAATGAGTGGAGCGAAAGCGACGCCAACTGAACTCTCTGCTCATTTCACCAACAGTTTCTCTTGTAAAGACGCTGTACATATGCTGAACTACCTTCGTCCAGTGATTTGCAGTCGATACAAACTGTTCAGGACCTGTTCTAAGCGTTTTCATATCCATCAAAATCCATCACGAAGTTTTTGTTAATGGAGAAAGTATACTACATTATCCTCCCCATTCTATCTCCCTTCCGTGCCTGGTTTTTTTCTCCCCTCCCCATTCTCTTTCTGCCCTCTCCTCGTTCTGCCGTCTCCTTGTGAGAAGGCAACATTGCCTGTTTGGTTGAACGACTATAAATAAAAGCACAACAACAACACAGGTTCCCAGTACCTTTGAGCTACCCACAACACGTACAAACCGGCTAAGAGACACCCACATCTATGCTTCTCTTGATCTCTTTCATAGCATTCCACTCAGCCTCCGGCATATCAACCCCAGACGAGATTTCAAAGCAAACATCCAACCACTTGTCATCTCTTCCGTATGTACTTGCTCACATTGCTCAGCACATCTATAGCTCCATTGCGCCCAGCCTATGTGATAAACTCCCTATTGCCATCGCTACTGCTTCAGCAAGCAGCTAAACTTTCATCTCTCTGTATCTGATCCCCGTGACTGTACAGGTAGACTCCCTTTAATTCCAACCTCAAATTGCCATTTGCCCCAACTTCCAATTATCCAGAACTTCTAATTATCCAAATGCAGCCCCATGCACTGATATGTACATGTATGTCAAAATGCTTGAAATCGCATGCTGAATATTTTTTGCACATTTTTATTTGCATCAACGAAACAAAGGTGGTCGTACCGGTCATGTACAACGGATCATCAAAACACTGGATCGACACAAAATCATTTTACATTCTCTTCATCTTCTAGTGAAGAAGTTGTCAGTCACTGCAGCTTTCCTGAAACAATTTCAACGGAAAACAACTGTGCTGCGTAATCCGCGTCATGAAAGGCCGTCGAACAGCAGCACGTCGTTCTGAAGAACGGAATTGGAGCATAGGCATAGACAATATTTACGACAATGGTGTTGTTGTGCGCCAACATCTCCGCGCAAGAGGCGGCGCGGCAAGAAAGGCCATCGAGATCCGCGAAGAGAGTCAGCCACCAGGAAGAAGTCGTCTTCAATCAAACCTTTGCAATTTGTCTCGCACGGGCTTGAATCAAATTTCGAGAGAAGGTGGGTTTCTTGAACGCTATAGTAGATCCTGCAGCGGACCATCGATCAATTTTTGAGCTACTCTTGGCTAGAGAAGGAGAAAAGAATGAACTTCGAATTACAAGGATAGCAACTCAATCTCACTTCGAAATAAGCGTTCAAAGGACATAGCCAATGTACTGTAAACAGCTCTTCTGTACGAAGACTGGGTTCGAATTATCCAACCGGCGCACTTTTCGTACTTCGAATTATGCATTCGATTTTGACTTGAAGTGACTTGCAGAAGATCGGTACGACGAAAAAGTTCGAATTACACGGAATGTTCGAATTATACCGTATTCGACTTAGAGGGAGTCTACCTGCAATTATTTTTCACTTATTGGCCACAGGCCATCGTGAGAATAAAAGATTTCAAACAACAACCGACGGATCCCCTACTACTAGTACTACAGTCAGACCTCGCTTAAAGGGGAAGTTAAGGCAAAAATTAAAATTTCACCAGTTGTAGTCTTCGGGGTGCTGAGTCGAATGGTCTTGGTCCGAGAAAGCTGAGACGCTCCCTTCCTACTTGAATCCCAATCGAACTCGCGCACTTCCACCGAAACTGGTGTACGCAGGAGCACGTGACCGCTTGTTCAACCATGTTCGATTGGGAATAAAGGAGGAACGCTGCATCGCAGCCTTTTCGGACCAAAACCAGTCGACTCAGCGTCCAAAAGACTACAACATATGGGCCAATCGCGGTCATCCGTGCTTTTATAAGAACGAAACGGCGCTTTTAGTGACATTTTGCATACAAATCCCCATCTCGTAGGGCGCAGTCACCCAGTTTCGGTGGAAGTGCGCAAGTTCGATTGGGATTCAAGTAGGAAGGGAGCGTCTCAGCTTTCTCGGACCAAGACCATTCGACTCAGCACCCCGAAGACTACAACTGGTGAAATTTTAATTTTTGCCTTAACTTCCCCTTTAACCGCACACATCCGTTTTCCACAAAAATATCCGGATAGGCGAGGGAACCGGTTAACTGAACACTGTTTATGTTGGATGCATCACGTGTGCTGTAAATATGTAACCAGCTATTATCTACCGAATGGCGAGGGATCCGGATAAAAGAGGACCGGATAAGCGAGATCTGACTGTAGTACTAGTAGCAAGGACGCAACACAGAAAACTGTTGAAATGAACATCGCCAGTGCGTCCGAGAACACAACCAGCGGCGGGGAATCCAAGGAAATACAGAGTAATACCCCATCCTCTGCCGACCAAACTGAGGTAGCTGAGAGTTCCAGCTTGCAGGTAATCACTCCCAGTACACCCCCAATGTCCGGCACCCCTCCGCCTACAGGCACTGGGGCAGGCCACGACGACGGGGCCACCACTATTGCCTCTATCGATACGGGTTGGATACCCAACAGTCCTCGTCGTCGCCGACACAGCCACGGCCATCCGACCATGGAGGAGAAAGCCAAGGCCGATGAGACATGGCCCTCACCTCAGATGAAACACCCGAAATACTGAGTCCAGATAAGTTTCAACAACTAGCCAAAAGAAAAAACCTAAAATATTTTCTGAAAAAAAACAAAAACAAAAACAAAAAAAAGTTAAAAACAATACCAATGTCAGTGAATTTGAACTTTCTCAGTACCAATGTGCGTTGCTTATTCAACAAAATGGACAAGTTACTTACCTTTACCCGTTCGTGCTCTGAATCTCAGAACGAACTATCAGTCATTGCAGTCCAGGAAACCTGGGCTGACACACCAGACCCTGACAGTCTCTATGCAATCCCAGGCTACAGGCTGACCAGAGCTGACAGACAGGACTTTGGTGGTAGTGTTGCCTTGTACACAGCGGAAAGTATCAAAACAAGGGTACTGACAATACCAATGACAGCAGCAGAATGCGTATGGACGAGAATTTCCACCGATAACCTTTCCCTCATTGTTGCAAACGTTTACCGACCACCCCGTAGCGATGACACCCTTTTCTGTGCGGAGCTGGAAAGAAGCATTAAAACCGCTAGAGCTGAAGGTGACGATCTCCTACTACTTGGAGACTTCAATGCCAAGAACAGTGCGTGGCTCACCACAGACAGAACAGATCGCCTTGGGGACGACATACAAACTCTTCTACACACATACAGCCTCACACAACATGTC